CGAAAGCATAGACAAAGTGTCTATGGGTGGTCCTCTGTGAACAAATGCAATCAGTTGTGGAATTTCGATCGCTAAATGATATACAGCAGTAAAATGTAATGTCATATATGATGCTGCTGCTTAGCAATGGGCAATTCTGGTATTCCTGGTTGACATCATTCAGCAAATTACCGTGAGTTGTTAAGTGAGGATCTGATCACCACTTGTGACCTCCTGTCGGCTTCTGCGTTGATTTTGCTTGTCAGAAGCCAGCAAAGAAGCCTGCAAATGGCTGGCTGCGGGATGCTTTGATGGATAGAGTGTAAGTTCCATTGCAAGTTTGAATGGTCACTGAATGAGTGGTTGTTAAGCAAGGACCACTTTTAGTTGTGAGGAAAATTCTCTATATTTTCTCTACTTCCTCAGAGTTATGTAAAAAACAGGGTCAATGCAATTACAGACTGCCACATGGTTCTCATTTTTTTCCCCAAACCATATAGGAATTTCAGCTTTAAGATGTACTCATAATAACTAGACTATTATTTAGCTTTGCAAAACATTTTTTAATTCAATGTCTCACTTAATAATTGAAGTTCTTCCTTTAATGCATGTTAGTGATTGGTGGCTACTATTTTCTTGTCTCTGTGTGTTGTGGGGTGGGGATATCCTGCTTGAATACTGAAGCTAGTAAGCAAGAAGACTTTGGTCATACTACAAGTTCTGTTTTGGGAAATTAATATTTCCCAATTCTTTCTAGCCTCACCTTCCATACCGACTCCATTGCTCAAATGGTATAACTGAAAATAAGCAATATAACTATAATACCGAGTGATTTAATCTGTCTTATTCTCATTACATGAGGGAATTCATTCATTCATTCATTCATTCATTCATTCATTCATTCATTCATCACATTTTTATAGCTCTTGTCTTACCTAAAAGACTCTTATTAAGAGATGCCCTGAAACATCCTACTGATCAGCAAATTAGTGACCAAAACTGTTTTATTACCTAATTTTAACCTTAAACCAAATGAGGCTTAAGCCCTTCCTATACAATTGAGCAGTACTGCTCATCTCCCATCCCTCAGAAAGAAGCAAAATCATTTTAATGCGCAATTTGCCCCATTTGCAGATCCATTCCCTGCCTCTATTTTGCATATTCTGAATCACCACCCAATGGTGCTGTTTTGGTTGCGTGAGGTAAGCAGCTGGTCCCTTCCTTGGCTTTCCTGCCCTCCATCTTAAACACATCACTAACTGGTGGGAAAAGCATCCATCGATCATGGCACTGTTTCAGGAACAGGAAGGATGACTGCAGGTTTATTTCTATCTTCTCTAGCTTGTTCCTGGGATTCTCCTCCAACTCTCCATTGTACTCTAGCTCAGTGTTTCTCAACCTTGACAATTTTAAGGCATGTGGACTTCAATTCCCAGAATTCCACAGCCAGCATTGCTGGCTGTGGAATTCTGGGAGTTGAAGTCCACATGCCTTAAAATTGTCAAGGTTGAGAAACACTGCGTCTAGCTGAAGCTGAATAAAGTAACAAACTAAAAAGTCATGGAGGAAGCTGAGCTGCAAGCAGTACTTAGTAGACTAAGGATTTCTCTCCCCTTCTTTTCCTTATACAATAGTGGCCAAAATTGTGGAAACCTTTTGGGAAAAGTGTGCAGTAGAAATGCCACCTTTGGTTAAGTTTCCACCAATTTTTCTTCTAATTTCTTTATAACTGTAGCCTTGTTCACTTCATAATACTATTTTACATCGCTTTCTGGGCAATCAGTCACCTCTTTGCACTTTAATTATTAATTAAAAATTAATAATACAAATTAATTAATTTTTAATACTTTAATTTTATTATGTTTTACCAGCTCACTAAATGAAAGAACACACACAAAAAAAGCCCAACCAACTTGATAGCGATCACATAACACACTGACAAATGTCCTCCTCTCAGCTTCAATACATGACATCAATAACTGAATCCCACTGTGATCTACTTGGCTCATTGCCAAAACAAGATGACACCTGATTGGCTCTCTAAACACTCATGCTCATTGGCTAGAATCAGAGGAAGGAAAGCTACCTGTTATCAACCTAAGCAAGTTGTGCTTCCTTTTTATGGTTATTTGGCTATAACTTTTTATAGAATACAGTACAAATAACTGAACAAACTATGTTGCATTACATTCTTGATTAAATTATCTTTCCATTGATATATAATTTTATGGTACTACACCAAAAAAAGTGGTATTATTAGCCATCGAACCTCAAAAATATACTTTTCCCAAAAGGTTTCCACAATTTTGGCCACTGCTGTACAGATAGTCCTCGACGTACAACCATTTGTTTATCCCAAAGCTGATTTTTTCAAAAGGCAACTGGACTCTGTTTTTCCTTGAAGATGTTTCGATTCTCATCCAGGAAGCTTCTTCAGTTCTAACTTCAATTCATTTAGAAGAGAAATGTCTTCAAGGAAAAACAAAGTCCAGTCGCCTTTTGAAAAAAAGCAGCTTTGGGACAACCATGACCTGGATGACCGAGAATCTCCATAGACATTTAACTATTCAGTTAGGGAGTGTTCAAAGTTACAGCGGCATTGCAAAGAGTGAGTTATGACTGATTCTCATGGAGAATTCTCATGGTCACGGGATCAAAATTTGGATGCTTGGCAACCAGCATGTATTTACAAAGATTGCAGTGTCCTGGGTCATGTGATCACCATTTGCCATCTTCCCAGCCAGCTTCTGACAAGCAAAGTCAATGGGAGAAGCTGGATTCTTATAACAACAATGATCCACTTAACCAACTTCAGTGACTCGCTTAACAACCATGAAAAAAATTAGTTCACTTAATAGCCACCTTGCTTATCAATGGAAATTCTGGTCCCAGTCCCATAAGTTGTAGACTATCTGTATAGGCAATAAATGTGCAAAGGATCTTCCATATTCTGTTGAGAAGCAATTGGAAAATACTATTTCACTCATTCAGTCTTGTAAAAAGAGTTGAAGCAAATTGTCCAGAATTTGAATTTACTGGCTTCCGGTCACTTCCAATGTTCTGTGGAGAATGTAAAATAATGACGACCTCATTTCCCGTGTTGTGAGCTATGGGTAGATGTGTCGAACTCTTTGTAGCCATCTGGAATTTGGCAGCTCAGATTGGACAGTCCTACAATTGTAACCTCGAGTATCCAAAATGGGAGAGGTGAGTGGAGAAAAATTAATTGGAAGCTACAGAACATCTCCTGAGGTAGTGGAGGAAGGATGGGGGCAGTGGTGGGATTCAGCCAGTTCACACCAGTTCAGCAGAACCGTGAGCTAATTTTTTGTTGACCAGGCCCAGAATAGACTGCCGGAAGCGGCATCCACACAGAGAACCAGTTGTTCACGTATTTGAATCCCACCACTGGATAGAGGGGTTAGCAAGTAATAGTGTGGTAAATTGGTGCTTTGAAAGAGGTTGTGTGCCCTGCGACTACCATTTGGAGAATGGGAACGTCCCTCAGCAGCCATTTTGGAATGGTGCCCATAAGAAATGCACAACATTCTCAATAAGCCATTTAGCCGCAAAGTCTGAGGACCCTGCTAGAAGAGTGAATGCAGTACTGTGCATTTAAAGAAAGGAACATTGATGGTAGATGCAGATCTTACAAGCCAGATCTTTCTGGAAGTTAATGAACCTGACTTGATTGAATTTTCAACTGCAGCATTAGCTCTGAATTACTGAAATGTTTACTGTGCGGGGGCACCCGGATATAATTCAAAGCACACATTTTGTTCCACATTTTAAAGCATGGCTGATTTAGAATTGGTACATGGGATAATATGCTACACTCAGCGACATTCTGCAATAATCTCTTTACAACTATAACACTAAAAGCAGCTTTTATTATTTCTGTCACTAGAAGCATTGTTTCTAGTCCTTCACATGCCAGTGGGAAATCATTCACATTATATCTTAGCTTGCTTGTTTTTGGGTTTTGGTTTTTTACAAACGTCTTTAGCTATTCACTCTGTGCATCCTGGTTAAACAATCTAGGAGCAGAGATAGTTGAGTTGATTATTTACAAGAATTTGCATATTTCATTGAGGAGCAATCCATATTCTGAAAAATTGCTAGTCCTTCTGTAACAATCCTTGATCTTTTCATTCTGGTTCTTCTCATTCTGAGCTCTTTCTCAGTCTCTAAGCCTTTATTCTTCTCCTTACAGCTTTGTGTTCCACCCTTCTTCAGCTCTGCTTTCATGTTCTTCATTCCAGTCTGACTTGCTCTGACTCCAGAGCAGACCAAACTAACAAAAAATAATAATTAAAAACTACCTATATTCATAGGGTTTATATCTACTACCCCAATCATATTTTTACAGTGTGAGCTTTAAATATTTTGTTTGTGCATCTAAAATGGCAGCATAGTCTGTTTTCACTGATTCACTGAGACTAATGAAACATAATACTGAATAACTATAAACATTCCTTTTCCCCCAGTTAATCAATATGCCACTTTACAGAATTTCTGGCTAAGTTTTCTTTAGATATTGCACAAACCTAATTACAAGAATATATGTACGTAGTTAAATTTACTGGAAAAGTAATAAACTGTAACGTTTACAGTTCATCATTTTGACGACCCTTTAATTTGTATATATTTTATAACACACTGGATCCCTGAGATCAGAAACTCAAATAGCTGATTATGGGATAATCCTCTCGTTGTTAGAACTCTCCTACCTTCTGGTACTAATTTTTCAGTTAAAATAATTGTAGATTAATAAAAAAAAGTATATCAGTATTCTGATGTGATCAGTGATTAAGATTATGCGCTAATTAGAAGTTTTTAATGTACAACAAAGCAGACTCCTAAACAAATGTTAATAGATTGGTCTAGTCTAGAAAATGCTAGTATCGATTTAAAAGTTAATCGTTAGAAAGCTAGTACCTGTATAGTTTTACCCAACTCTGAAGATGTTTGAACACTTTAAAAATAAAATATGCATATAGGAATGAGTTTGGAAGCCCTACCTGGTGGTCCAGGTTCCCCAGGTGGCCCAGCTAATCCATCTTTTCCTGGAAGACCTGGCTTCCCATGAGTTTGGGAAGCTAGCATAGCAGCAGGCAACTTCAGCTGAGACACAAACTGAGTCATCCTCTCTTCATTTATTAAAAAAGCAACAAGAATAATAAAATAGCATTACATGTCTTTTCAACACTTGGAAAACTATATCTACTGTACTATATGTTATAACTGCAGTATTACGGTTTATATTTTTTTCAGATTATACAGCGAGTGGTCATCTAACTTGATCATTTCTCTTCTTTTCACTTCACCCTTTCTTCCTGACCTGTTTTCTGATTTTTCCCAAGCTGTACATTTGAGCTTGGCAATCTGTTACCTTTTTAATGTGTTTAATTGTCATGGGCAAAGGCCCAAGGAGAGACACTTTGTTATTGATAATTTTTAGTCTTTTAAATGGGCTGTTGCTGGGTAATGAGGGAGGGTCCTTGGTCTGAAACTACATTCTAGAAGCATTAAAGAAGTTGTTCTCAACCTTTTTAATGCCGCGACCCCCCAACCGGTCATAAGTCGAGGACTACTCAACTGGTGCAGCACCGTTTGCAGAATGGGACTTTTGGCGGGCTCAGCAGGGCAGAGACAGCCTGGACAATTCCTATTGGCTTTTGAAAGCCAATAGAATTAGACTCTATTCAAGAGAGTCTATTCTATTGGCTTTCAAAAGCCAATAGAATAAAAGGGAGTAGCACAGCTAAGGAAAAGGGGGGAAAAATGGCGGACTGAGTTGTTTGGCGACCCCCGTGAAATGGTCGTTCGACCCCAAATGGGGTCCCAACCCACAGGTTGAGAACCACTGCATTAAAGGAAATAGATAAAACTATGTAATTCCAAGGGAGTCTTGTGCACTTCTCCCATATCCTCATTCAGCTTTCCCTTTCTGCCTCATTACTCATTTGACCTCCAAGCTTTTGTGCTTCAACAAAATAATGGGAGAAGTTGGCTGCGATATGAGAGCTGCACACGGTCTCTCTCTCTCTCTGAAATTAGCCTATCCTAAATTGAAACCTATTCGTGTGTCAGGTATAGATGGAAAAAACTGGGCTCTGTTACCTTTGGAGATCTTTGGTATATCAGAATCGTAGGTGCAATAAACATGATTGCATTTTTATGACACCATAGTCGTCATAACATTTGATACAAAATGTTCCATGGAAGATATGTCTGTTAAATAGCATGAACTCTTTTTAGAAAACTGTCACATGTCTTTGGGTATTATTTAATTCAAAGAACAAAAAGGAGACATTATTTAGGAAACCTCTGTGAGTGCCTAAGAGTAGGATTTTTTTTTGTTTCATTTTTTTTCATTCTGTGATTTTTGTCTTAGTTAGCAAAGAGAAAAAAAATGGTGAGAAAAGTTACAGAGTGCACAGGTTAGTTAGTCCCTAGCTATCGATACTGACTGAAGAGCAGACCAGTATCAAAGACTGGATGAGGAAGCTGACAATATATGCTATTTTCCCTCCATCTTATTACAGTGTTTGTGTAGCTCAAAAACTGACACTGAATATCACCTCTATCTCTATGCAGTTCAAACTGCCTCTGGTTTGCATAATTTCACTTCAGAAGAGGAAAGAGAGGAAAGTCATGTGGGTCTTCTTTTATTTGATTTTACTGCTTCATTTGACCCTTAAGGTTTTGCATATCAAGAATATACTAACTAATCAGAGTTGCACAAACCAAGATTAAGACAGACTCCCCAAGAATTTAAAAATCTCCTTTTTTACTGTTTGTCCAGCACTGCAAGAAAAAAAAAAAGTTCAATTAACTTCTCCCTATATTGTTGTTGTTAGTTGCGAAGTCATGTCCGACCCATCGCGACCCCAAGGACAACGTTCCTCCAGGCCTTCCTGTCCTCTACCATCTTTTGGAGTCCATTTACGTTCACACCTACTGCTTCAGTGATTCCATCCAGCCACCTTATTCTCTGTCGCCCCCTTCTTAATATTGCCCTCAATCTTTCTCCAGTGAGTCATTCTTTCTCATTAGGTGGCCAAAGTATTTGACTTTCATCTCCCTAGATACAATTCATCATATTTTGGAGGATGTAGGATGGATATATAAAGGTGCTGTAGGTTTCATTGCCCTATCTGCCCTCTAACAGGTCTTCTCTCTAACAAGTTAGTATCCTTTGTGATTTCAGTACACATTCAACAAGCAAATTGTTAGTAAAAGGTATTTTGAATGTCAAACCATTATTTGTGATTGCAGTATGTGACTTGGAAGGAACCTGCCTGCCTTAAGCATTTTAAATGTATTTGTATAAATAACTGAAGCTCAGTGAAACTGTTCTAAATGTTACATATCCAATAGATCTATAATTCACAATTGGAAGCAAGTATTTAAAACAGAGATGTGAAATATGTATTATATTTTCTCATGTGCTATTTCCTTACCTTCAAAAACTCTAAGAACCTCCTGTCTGATATATTTTTTCATTTCCTCAAATGAAATTGAATCAGCCTGAAGAAATAAAAAATAAAAGAGATTAAGCATAGATGTCTTGGGCCACAAAATCATCAAAACAAATAAACTTGTCCTCATGTTTCTATTAAGAGCTCCACAACAATAAAAGTTATAAATAGGATTCATGTAATGAAAATCTGCTAGTATCACCATCACCATCACCATAACTACCACTGCCATCATAGAAGCAATACTAATGCCTAGAAAGACTTGTTTCTCAATTATTCTTACGGAGTTTTATTTTGAATTTTCAAGAAAAAAGATGGCCAACTCCAATCAATAGCTTGCATGCAGACCCGAAGCCCCAGAACTCCTTCCAACTGCAATTTCTGAATATAAAAATTGGATTTACTACCCTTCTGATGTAGAAAACACATAAAAGCTTTTGTTTAATCTTTAAAATACCGTAGGCTTAGAATAGAAACTCATTTCATTATCTTTGCTCATGATATGTATTTCCCATTAAATAATGCCATTTTGACCACTACAGCTTTACCTTCTCCAAAAATGTTAGGTGCAGCACATAGCCCAGTGGTGGCGAACCTATAGCACGGGTGCCAGAGGCAGCACTCGGAGCCCTCTCTGTGGGCACACGTGCCGTTGCCCCAGCCTTGCTTCCCCCATGACCCCCTCCTCTCCAGCAGCCCCCCTGAAGGAAAGTCGTCCCTGAGTGTGGGCCACCCAGAGCAGCGCAGCCAAGGACATGGCAGCCAGGCAGCGTAGACAAGGCTCTACCCTCACACCCCATTATGCAGTTGATGCTGCAGGGCGTGGGCAGAGGGCGTGGCTGCCATAGCACTGCTGGGTCTGCCTGTGTGATCTGCAGCGGGCCCTGGAGATGGTGAGTGGCCATGCAGGCAGGCGGGGTGGGGGATGGGGGGGTGAAGCAGGGGCAGGGCAGGGGGTGGAGTGGGGGTGGGGCCAGTTTTGGGGCACTCGATCTCTAAAAGGTTCACCATCACTGACTTAGCCCATGGAGGTTGTCTGCTCCCCGCCCTTCAACCTACTGGTATTCCTGGAGTTCCTGGGACACCCGGAGAGCCCTTTGCTCCTGGAGGTCCTAGACTGCCTTTTTGCCCTGCAGATCCAGTAGGTCCTAGGGGCCCTTGGTCTCCTGGTAGGCCTGGCTTTCCTCTTTCACCTTGTGGGCCCCTGTCTCCAGGTATACCTTGATCACCCTATTGAAACAAACAAACAAACAAAAGAATGCTGTATCAAATGCTTTGCTTGAGCTTTCATTATCTTAAATCCCTTGAACATGAAAACATTAAAGACAATCAGAGTGGCACAATCCTTTGTATTTCCAGCCAAAAACATGCCTTTGAGCTCACACCTTCCTGCCTGTTTTTAAACACATTGTTTTGCTTAGGATTGCACAGCACCTGCAGTGGTCAGCCACAGTATTTTGGGGGAAAGAAGTAGCTGCTTTTGGAGTAACCAGTGGGTGCTATGTGGACATCCCTGCATATTTTAAAGCGTATTTTTTGCCTTACAGTTCAAAGCGATTTACAGTCCTACTGAATAATAGTTCTTTACACCACAGAATAGCATGTGAAAGAACCACACAGGGAAGATTAAGAAAACTGGAATCCAATTAGCAAAACAATCAGAAAATCCCATAAAGTTCTACTTTCTTATCAGCTGTCAGGTTTTAGCACTGCAAAAGGAAGAAAATATAAGAATGTAAAGGGCTGAAGTACATGATGCAAAGAAAGGAAGATACATAGGTATTCCTATACTTTTAATTACAGATTTTTTTTTAATAGAGCAATGCTTAAAACAGATCCTTCTTACTTAGTTATCTTCCAAATTTTGGATAAAATAGGATGGAGGATACAGCAAAAAACAAAACAAAACAAAACTGCTTTCCTCTTTTACTCAAAGAAGTTTATCTTAACAATGCACCTAATGTCTTTATCATAAGGACTGTAACGAAAGTGTTGTCTACAACCCAGAATAAAATAAGTCCTGGTGTAATATTAATTATATAAAGTGATCCATTACTGAAACTTTAATTATGAAGGTGATGTATACAACTTAGATTTGACATATATATATATATATGAATCTACTGTTTGCTTCACTTCTTCAGCTGGTAAAACAATGGATAACTATATAAATCAGCTTTCTTCAAGCTCATGTCCTCCAAATATACTAGAATTACAAATCTCAAAAATATCCTGTAAACCAGGATATTCTTGCTGCAAATTTTGAGAGCTGAATCCCCAGTCTACCTGGTATTACTGCCTCCTTAGCTGAGTGTCGGCTGTTGGGGAGAATGCAGTCTAGTTTTTCTGTTTCCTTCCTAGCTTTTTTAATTGCCTCTTTTGAATGGTGTGTAAACAGTAAGCAGAAATGAACAGGATGACACTTAATAGGAACAAATGTGGGAGCAAATATACGATGGGAAAGATCTGGCTTGACAGTAATGTGAAAAGGATAGATCACCAGTTGTATTGCAACTTCTAAAAATCTAATATTATTTGGGGATGCATTAATAGGAGTTTATGGTTCAAAGCATGGGAAGTAATTGTCCCATTCTAAGTCAGACCTCACTTAGAATACAGCATCCAGTTCAGGTCACTTTGATCACAAACTTGGAGTAAATTCATTAAGACTTCTAAATAACCTGCCATTTTAATCTGATTTCCACTGTATTGATATTTATCACAAGCTATAATGCTTCAGTTTATATGCATTTGTACCTTACCAGTGTGCATGTAAATTACAAATAATAAGCTGGATAAATATGACGATTAGCAAAGCAACTTACACGTTCTCCTTTGGGGCCTCTATCACCAGGTTTACCCATTAAACCCTACAAAAAAAGTAAAAGTATTGCTAAAATATATATTATTGCTGACAAAAGCGCAATTATAGTATGCATACATAAATAGTTTTCTTACCTGAGGACCAGGTAATCCATCTTTCCCACTTAAGCCCTAAGGAAAAAAAAATAATGATCTTCATATTACCAAATGTTTGACTTTTGCTATCTGCTATCTGTATCTTATGATAGAACAGAACACAAGCATAAAGCCCTCAGGAAAATAAATGCAAAATCTCAACCGACAAGGTGATTAAAGACTTTTGGCAATTGCCCCAAGTCTTACTCATTCAGGTTCCGAAGAGCTCAAGGCATTCTTCAACCACATAACCACAAAGTGGTTCTAGCTGGCTGTAGCATTTAATGTCTGCAAATTATCAGTAAACCCAACTTCTAAAATAATATAATAAAATTACTCATTACTCTATAGCTAGGTAGAGTATGCACTTTTATTATTAGAAGGTTAGTTTCCTTTATAGATATGTTTAATTGTTAAGGGGGAGGGTAAAGATAGTTTTATTGCTTTTTGCTAATTGTATGGAAACTCAATGGAAAAACTCAATGGAAAAACACAGCATTCTTATCTATTGCTTTGCCACCAGATTTAAGCTGTTTCATTTTGGGGCTCTGCAAAGGAGGGGAAAACAATAATTTTAACTGAGCAGCTTTGCAGGGACCTAATAATTATAATTAATTAATCAATTTATGGTATAAACTGGCTATAGTCGTCCCAGTGGTTACTGGCACACTGGATGCCATACCAACAAATCTTGGATGGCACTAATGGGGCATTAACAAAATCCCCATCAGTCAATTGCAAAAGGCCGTCTTGTTTGGATCCGCACATATATTATGCTAATACATTACGACATACTAGGTTCTTGGGAAGAACTTGATGTGTATGAAGGCCAGCACCAGCTAAAGAGCTGGCAACTGTGACTTCACATAGTTGTGACCAGATAATAATAATACCCATCCAATAATTGGCCATTAGTTAATTGGTTGGATGAAGAAAAAACATTAGACAAATCCCCCTCTTGGATCATACCAGAATCCCTTTTGAATTACTTACTGGTATTCCTGGTGGCCCTTCTGGCCCTGGAAAGCCAACCTCTCCAACAGGGCCTCTTTCACCCTAAAGGAAAAATAAAGAGTCTTTTATATTAATTGAAAGCAATCAGAATACTAATACTATTATGGGAGTGCTGAAACCTAAGTGCTCTTACAGGTTCTCCAGGGATTCCTGGTGGCCCCGGAGCGCCATGTTTTCCCTGTGAAAATGAAGACATAGAAAAAAACATTTTAAATTATTTAGTCTGCTCTAAAATTACAGCTGTTTTAATGTGCATTAGATGACACATATTACACTTATATTGCCTGAGCAATGAATTCTTCCTTAATTATAAAAGCTTTTGGTTCCATTATTACATATACTAACTACACTAATTTAGGCTATTCACCCTAAATTCAGTGACACTTACTTTTGAATAGAAAATCATCTTTTTCTAAAAAAAAATATTAGAAATATCTTGAGATTGTTAAATCCTCTTAGGATACAAACAGCTTTTCAGATGGGATAAATTAAGTGAAGCTTTAATTATAAAAATATGTCATAAAAAGAAGAGTCATGGCTTAGGGGCTGCTTGTGTTAGTCCTTCAACCCCAATATCCCAAGAAAAAAAAACAAATCTGGCAGCAAAATTGTCACATTTCTATTTTCCATTCCCCCACCTTAAATCAAAGTGAGAATGGAAGCAGCAAGTCCCTAGAAGGTGTACATGTGTACAAGCTGGGTGAAAATGTGTAAAGACTTTTGTATCATTCTTTCCAATGATAACATCACATCAACTCAGTCTCTCAACAAATCAGGAGGCTGATTTGCCCCTCTGAAAGTTCCCATTGTGGTAATACCATGTTTCCCTGAAAATAAGACAGGATCTTAATTTATTTTATTTTTTTGCCTCCAAAAGAGGTACCAGGTCTTATTTTCGGGGGATGTAAAGTAATAGTAGTAAAGATGGAAGGGACCTTGGAGGTCATCTAGTCCAACCCCCTGCTCAGGCAGGAAACCCTACACCATGTCTTTTATATCCACCTCCAGCACCGCCCAGCCAATCCACTTCTTCTGCATGAAAGAGCAGCTTCATTCTGCAGCTGCATTCAGGCCTGAATTTTGCAATCAGGCTTTTCCAGAAGGCCTCTGTAGCCGAGTTCCTCGGTTCTTGGCTGCAGAGGCCTTCCTGAAAGGCCTGTGACTGCAAAATGCAAGCCTGGCTGCAGAAGAGGCCACAGTAGAAGTAGGCCAGTGAGGAGAGACCTGACTGCAAGGTAAGTGAGTGCAGGGCACGTGGAGCAGCTCCATACCCCCACTCCTGCCTTACCTTGATTTTAGGTTTGTGCCTTGCCCCAAAAGTAGGGCTTATTTTTGGGGTAGGGCTCATTAGGCCTAGCCCCAAAAATCAAGCTGGGGCTTATTTTCAGGGTAGGCCTTACTTTGGAGACAACAAGGTACTATGAAATGGATTACAGATAGAACAAAGAAAAAGAGAGAAGATCAGGTATTCATTCATTCATTCATTCGTTTGTTTGTTTGTTTGTTCATTTATGCAATTCTTCCAGGACAGATTTGTTAATTCTGAATATAGGTGTAGACTTGTTTTTTCATTGTCTTATTTGTTTTAATTTTTAGCATAAAACAAATAAGGAACAATTCTCTTTAAAATACTGATTTGCTAATCACAGAAAATTTCCTCCAAAGAATGCTCAACACTTTCTAAATATGAATGGAGATCATTTGTAAGAAGAAAAAGTTAAGGTTAGTTATCAGCAATGCAAATAGTTTGAGTATAGCCTGCTTCCAGATTCTTCTGAAGCTTCATAGTGAGAAAACAAGTAACATAGGACCTATTTTATAATAAAAAATGAGTGTATAAGAAAAGATTTGCGATTAGTATGGCAATTTTGATTCTGAATATTCAGCAGAGTATTTGGCTACTATTTCCCACAGTTTGTATACATTATTATGTGTCTAGCAGTCTGTACCCTTATCCCAGCTATTGTGATTACTATTCACTTCCACAAAATGGAAACATCATTTCTAAGAGCATACTTACAGGTATTCCTGGAACTCCTGGAGAACCCAAAGATCCCTGGTCACCCTAAAAAAGACATACTACATTACAGTATTTCCAAAGTATATCTCTTGAGAAAATCCAGTGCTTGCTAAGAAGGCTTGATGGAAATAATCCTTTTCACACACCGTATGACCTTTTATACCTGGGAAGCACTATCTGAAACAGCTTTCATCCTATTAAAATCAAAAGGAACAAAAACTACTTGGATTTTTCCTTTGCTTCTGTCTCCTGAAACAATCATAAGCAATCATAACATCCAATTACTTCTGTTGAGTATGATTGATTCTCATATCATTTCTTGTTTCTGTCACAAATTCTAGAGAACAGCTTAGAGAAGAAGGCAAATTCAGTACATTACTCAGGACATGACAGTTTACCTTAATTTATCTAAAAGATCTTCAAGACAATGAACTTTTTACATGTGACAGTATGTCACAATTATTTTGCCATATTCAACAGGAAAACAAAGAAATGAAGTTTTCTGAGTGGTGGACTATCAGCACTGGGGGACTGGAAAAACATGGTAGCTTATAGCCAGTGATGATGACTGTGATTGTGATAACAATAACAACATGAGAATAGTTAAAATCTTTTATCATACAGTTAATTCTAATATAATCTCCTTTTTGCCATTTGTTAATCTCACTGCATGGATAGCACATTCTCTTTTCCTATATTTCTTATTTCTGTTACAATTAAGGCAATCTCAATTTCCTGTCAACTTGGTGTTTAGAGAACATAATAGAAGAGCCTCCTGAAATGAAGTTAGTTGAATGCAAATTCCTGGAATATATCTATTAAGAGTCCACTGCAGTAGTAATAGAATGTCTACTGTCCTGGCCACTTCTGCCAAATGCACTGTAAAAAGTATATAATGTAGAGTATAAAATACTCTAATAAATCAATTATCTGATTTGTTTCTCACATTCATCTCATATAGCTGTAGGTTTGTAGGTGCAGGCAAAAATACAACTTATGTGAACAGGGGTGTCCTTTATAGCATTCCTAATCTGATATACTGGTTTCTGAAAAGGATGCTCTAGAAGCACAAATATCCCTATGTATACTCCCTATATAGCCATTCTAAATCAAATCTATTTAATAGCCCAGGGGTCCTCAAAATTGGCCTCTTTAAGACTTGCGGATTTCAACGCCCAGAATTCCCCAGCCAGTCATGCTGGCTGGGGAATTCTGGGAGCTGAAGTCCACAAATCTTAAAGTGGCCAAGTTTGAGGACCCCTGTAAGAGTCAGTAGAAAACAATCTAACAAGTTGTTCAATAGCAGTGTGGAAAGATGATTGGGAAAGATTAGGAAAACAAGGTTTATGCAGGTTGAACCTGCATCCTGTAACAGATGGATAAACAATCCTATTGTCAATGCTGCAAATATTGTATATTCTTGCTTTTGACAATATGCCGAATTGTCTGGTAATTATGGGGTTAATATAGAGCAGAAAGAGGAAGAAAACATTTGACCTTCACACTAATTGGATAATGTGAGATATGATGGCTAATTTAGGGAGGAACATGCTGATAATTTAACTGCTCAGAGGAAGAGAACTTAGATCCTAGCATCCCTCCGTTGTGCCTGTGCCGACATTTTGATTCAATAAAAGACTTTTAGGGAAATAAATGCCTGGAAGTTCTCTGAAATGTTTCATTAGCCGGAACCACAACACCTATGCTTTGTCTTAGTCTCTTATACTGTATGACCTTAGCTATGGTGGTGTATAAACCAAGGTTTATGGCTAGTGCTTTATAAACCCAATCAATGTTTTAATAAAACATGGTTTACTAAACCATGACTTAATGCTATGTGTAAAATCAAGTGTAATCTTTTCTTCCCCCACTCTAAATTCTTTCTGAATTTATAGTACATTCCATTTGGATTCATAGGCCATGGTCACCAGCCTGGTGTAAAGCAGGTTGCCCAAAAGAAACAGCAATTATTGTTCAAGAATCAGCAGCCAACATTTTTGTTATTGCATTGCAACTTTTTCTTTTACCTTCACTTATTCTGTGAAATTGCCCCAGCACAAACAGCCACATCCAGTGTGCTTGGTGCTAACATAAACCTAAGCCAATATCCATTTGCTTAAAATACTCAGTTTTCTTGCTGTTGTAAATCTTAATTTTTTTGTTTTAAATGGAGATTCTACATCATTGTGGAAACATTTGCTATATGATTTAAATATGCAAAGGAGGTTTGGAAAAGAATGATTATTGTCAGTAGGTAAATGCAATCAATTTTCCACATGTAATTTTGCTATTAAAACTCTACCTTTTCTCCTGGTAGTCCTTCTAACCCTGGTAGTCCCATTGGGCCCGCTTCACCCTTGAAAAGAAACAAAAAGACAATTGTTTCTGATTTCAACACCCTAAGTCAGTGTTTCCCAAACTTGACAATTTTAAGGCATGAGGACTTCAACTCCCAGAATTCCACAGCCAGCAACGCTGGCTGTGGAATTCTGGGAGTTGAAGTCCTCATGCCTTAAAATTGTCAAGTTTGGGAAACACTGCCCTAAGTAAATAAAGCCAGATGTATTTCATAAGCTGTTAAATACACTGCTTACTTGGAAATGACCATTTTTGCCCTGCTGAGCATTTTAATGACTTGAAACTAAAAAGTGTTTTCAGAATCAAGATTGTTATGTCTGGCTATACAGTATTTACAGTGGGGCAAAAAAGTATTTAGTCAGCCACCAATTGTGCAAGTTCTCCACTTAAAAAGATGAGAGAGGCCTGTAATTGTCATCATAGATAGACCTCAACTATGAGAACCAAAATGAGAAAACAAATCCAGACAATCACATTGTTTGATTTGGAAAGAATTTATTTGCAAATTATGGTGGAAAATAAGTATGTGGTCACCTACAAACAAGCAAGATTTCTGGCTCTCACAGACCTGTAACTTCTTCTTTAAGAGGCTCCTCTGTCCTCCACTCATTACCTGTATTAATGGCACCTGTTTGAACTTGTTATCAGTATAAAAGACACCTGTCCACAACCTCAAACAGTCACACTCCAAACTCCACTATGGTGAAGACCAAAGAGCTGTCGAAGGACACCAGAAACAAAATTGTAGACCTGCACCTGGCTGGGAAGACTGAATCTGCAATAGGCAAGCAGCTTGGTGTGAAGAAATCAACTGTGGGAGCAATAATTAGAAAATGGAAGACATACAAGACCACTGATAATCTCCCTCGATCTGGGGCTCCACACAAGATCTCACCCCGTGGGGTCAACATGATCACAAGAACGGTGAGCAAAAATCCCAGAACCACATGGGGAGACCTAGTGAATGACCTGCAGAGAGCTGGGACCAACGTAACAAAAGCAACCATCAGTAACACACTACGCTGCCAGGGACTCAGATCCTGCAGTGCCAGATGTGTCCCCCTGCTTAAGCTGGGCCCGTCTGACGTTTGCTAGAGAGCATTTGGATGATCCAGAAGAGGACTGGGAGAATGTCATATGGTCAGATGAAATCAAAGTAGAACTGTTTGGTAGAAAAACAACTCGCTGTGTTTGAAGGAGAGAGAATGCTGAGTTGCATCCAAAGAACACCATACCTACTGTGAAGCATGGGGGTGGCAACATCATGCTTTAGGGCTGTTTCTCTGCAAAGGGACCAGGACGACTGATCCGTGTACAGGAAAGAATGAATGAGGCCATGTATCGTGAGATTTTGAGTGCAAACCTCCTTCCATCAGCAAGGGCATTGAAGATGAAACGTGGCTGGGTCTTTCAGGATGACAATGACCCCGCACACACTGCCCGGGCAATGAAGGAGTGGCTTCGTAAGAAGCATTTCAAGGTCCTGGAGTGGCCTAGCCAGTCTCCATATCTCAACCCCACAGAAAACCTTTGGAGGGAGTTGAAAGTCCGTGTTGCCCAGCGACAGCCCCAAAACATCACTGCTCTAGAGGAGATCTGCATGGAGGAATGGGCCAACATACCAGCAACAGTGTGTGCCAACCTTGTGAAGACTTACAGAAAATGTTTGACCTCTGTCATTGCCAACAAAGGATATATAACAAAGTATTGAGATGAACTTTTGATATTGACCACATACTTATTTTCCACCATAATTTGCAAATAAATTCTTTCCAAATCAAACAATGTGATTGTCTGGATTTGTTTTCTCATTTTGTCTCTCATAGTTGAAGTCTACCTATGATGACAATTATAGGCCTCTCTCATCTTTTTAAGTGGGAGAACTTGCACAATTGGTGGCTGACTAAATACTTTTTTGCCCCACTGTAGATTATACAGGGGGATAACACTTGTGATTATATTCTCTTGCCCAAATAAGGACTAATGACCATTCTAGCTTCTTTTAAAAGGATCAGAGCCTAGCACTAAATTGGTTTCCATTATCACATCTGATAAGACTTAATTCCATAGTTCAACTATATGTGCATAAAGTAGCTCCTTTTATAAGACCAGACTCTCTCTCTCTTAGCTTCATAAGTAATCCAAATGGTCAATGTTGGCTTCTAATTTTGAAACTGGACAAAATGGCTTCCACAAATCTCCTCTCCTTGGGTAGATCCATCTTGACATTATGTTCTCCAGGCCATTTGCTTTCTTTTCCCTGCTGAGACTAACTATTCAGGGGGAGGGAAGACGATAAATGGAAATTGAAAATGGAAACTGATAACCAAACACATCAGGGCACATTTTATAAATGAGAATTCATTTTACCCATTACATACCACTGCTCCAGGCTCCCCCTTTGGGCCCTGTAAGAAAATAGGATACAGTACCTAATTTATTTATGAGACTGATACTCAATGAGACTGACCCAATGATTTTATGTCCTTTAATCAGAATCAAGAATCTTCTATTACTGAATGAAGTACCCCATGAAATGTGATTATTTGCTTTTCCTAAGAACCATCATTCCACAAATGTTCTAAGTCTAGGAAAAAATGGTATTTGAAAAATAATCTGGGAAATGCCTTTAATTTCCATTTACTATGATGCTTTAATTCCTCAATATTTGCAGTGAATTGCTTTACAAGAAATAGACTGTTACAGCAGATTGTTTGTTTGTTTATCATATTTCTTAATCACCCATCTCCCTAAAGATAATTTATCATTTATCCACAAATAATAAATGAATTCATGTTGATTTCCCTTTATGAATAAAAGCCATGCATCCACTGGGGTTAGGGTTGGGTAAGAAATCCTGTACATGTATCTATTATTTTTAACAATAAGACTTTAATGTAACTACATATAAAACAAAATAGATCCTTGCATCTTTATAAAATAAAATGTTTTCTTTGGAAACAAACAATAACCAAATTTAAACCCATTTTTAAATGGAAAGAATGAGGTTAATTGGTTTAGTATAAGTCTTGAAATCTGGTTTTTATTTTTGAGAGAACCACTCTTAATTCTCATTTCACTTTGGACCAATATTTGTTCTTTTTAGCAGCAACCATAGAAATTTGGACAAACAGGTTCTTCAAATGGAGTCAAAATTTCAATCTTCTGATATAATTCTCTGTAATCATTTTGCACATTGATCTAAAATTCAGGGAAAGAATCTGACAGGAATCTTATTTTCAAAGAAATGCCAGAAAAGATACCTATGAATTACTCCTTCTAATGAGTCTGTTTAGCAATTAATAGGCTCCATCTCCAGGTATAATTTTATATATTGTTGCTATATATGAGAAACCATTCTTAAAATATAATTTTAGAGAAAGCTTAAAATACAATTCTTTATATGTTATTGTGCTCAATAAATTATTTTAAAATAGAAACATGTTTACACGTGGATCTTTCATTTAAAGCTTCTACAATTCAACTTTTGTAATCCATGATTTTAATATATTGAAGAATATTATGCAAAATTGGATATATATTCATATGTAATAAATATCAAACTATAATAATACCATACTTACAGGGGGCCCAGGGGGACCAGCATAACTAGAACTTCCCTGCAAAGAGGGAAAAAAATCCTTTAAATTATAGTTAGTTTAGTGCCATTGGTCTTACTTTTTTAAACTGATCTTTTGCGGATTAAGAGACTTCTATTTCATGCTATAGAATACTATATGTTTCTGATGTAAAAGATGTGGTTAGTTATTAAAAGATTTGTACTGAGTTTTTTTTAAAAAATGTAAATTATTAAAACTGATTGTGTCCCCAAGTTGCCGTTTTTAAATCAATAAAAACAGGGCATACATTCAACAAAGAAAAAAAACCACACATTTTTCATGCTATGCAATACCTGTAGTTTATATAAGCTGCTCATGCCATTACTTTCACTATATGACATACCCTAAAGAAAAAATAAATAAAAATATAGTAATGAGAAACCTTAAAACTCAGAATAAGTCCTGATGTCTTCTAAGACATTAGCACTACATATCCTTTACCTGAGGCAACAATATGAAAACAGAAATAATCCTAAACTAAAGAGCAGGTTTGGGGAAATTCTGGATCTACAGGATCAACTTGTAAGGTCCCTCCTATTCCTAGGCCGCCTTCCTCAAATTGTCTGTTTTCTCCAGGGCAGGATAAACTAGGATAGGAGGCAGAATGAGTCTGGCTTGCACTTAGATGACCTTCCACTTGACCATGAAGAAAGCAAAGTCTTGCAGCATCTCCCCACCCCCCACCCCAAAGCCCTTTTTCTCTGCAGTAGCAGATTGGAAAATATAATCCAAATATTTTCAAGGACTATTATATAATATTTCTCCATTTGTTGCTGCATAGAAAAATGGTTTCCATGAAGAATGAGGTGGGAAATCTTCCCTGCTTTGACTTCATGGACCATCTTTCTCCAGGAAGATATTATTTCAGCTTACAGGCACTTCTCTAGGAACAAAGGGACTGACAACATTTGACTGACTGAAGCTGTTAGGAAACTAATTCTAGTCCTGGATTAGATTCAGTTCTTCCCTGATACAGATCTTTCCTGCTGATATGCTGCCCTAACTTTGGGAATCTATTTCACCAAAATCATACTATGAAATATTTTAGAACTTCAGCCACTTGTAAGAGAATCTGAATTACTTACAGGTGGTCCAGGCTTCCCAGGAGAACCCTCATTTCCCTAAACCAAAAAGAACAGAAAAGAAAAAAAGAATAACACACTGAAAAGAACTGTTCCACAGAACAGTAAGATTTTACAGAAGATATACAGATAATACTTGCGTTTCAAATGTGTACTACAAAGTAAATAATACTTAGAATTGTTAGAGTTCTTTCCCACAAAAATGTTTTTAAATGCTACCTCTTTATCTCAGTGGTAATTCCCAAAGTTCTCTGCACTTCACCTTAATGACTAAGAAATATTCTAATCTAACCATGGGGACAATCACCATGCAATTTAAAAATGTAATTCTATTCTTTTACTTGCAGTTTTTTTAATCTATTCAGAAAACCAAATCAACATTCTTGATGTGTGTGCTGTAAAATACTATCAGCAGCTACTTCACAGTGGGACACAGAATTTGGCAGATAGATTATTAAAGTTAATAAAATTGGGAAAAATGGAAATTTTTTTTGAAGATAAAAATATTTTTTTAAAATAACTGCCATCAGTTCCCTGTGACAAATTGTCTCTACAATGTAAAAACCTTATGAGAAATTGTCTCTGCCATAGATACATTCAGAATATAAAAATGAAAAGAAAGTGCTTTGCTCTATCTTAAAAAAATGGCATTTGATGGTAATTAATCTGTACTTTCAAACAAATTGTTGTGGCAGAAGGCACTCTTTCTCAAATGAAGAATATTAAACCCCAGATGGCTTATGAGAGTTGCAGGAAGATTGTTAATGTTGAAGCTCTCAGAACACTCCAAAGCCAAGTTTTTTATGAACTCATCTACTTTTAATACACTTCAAAAAATTATTTAAACATCTTTAAGAAGTCAATTTGGGGGTTTACATGTTGATAAATGACCACATTTAGAGTCTTAAACTTTCAGCAAAAAGATGAGATCAGAAGAACTACAATTTGTGCTCTCAGGAGCAATCAATGTTTGGGCTCATATTTACTGAGGGTCAAGTGCAGAGAACTTTTGGAATTATCACTGAGATAAGAGATAGCATTTTAAAATATTTCTATGTGAAAGAGCGCTAACAAATCTAGTTATTACTTTCTTTGTATTGCTATGCAAACTATGTAAACCACAAATCCATCTTTGGATTTCCATAAAACGAAAGATTCAACCTCAATAATGTTAAACAGTGCACCTGGAATTCTTTATTTAACTAAGAAGAAATTTAAAAAACTGGACGTTTTTAAGAAGAGACTGCACAGCCATTTGTCTGAAATGGTATAGGGCAGGGGTAGGCAACTTTGGCTCTTTTATGACTCGTGGACTTCAACTCCCAGAAGTTGAATTCTGGGAGTTGAAGTCCACGAGTCATAAAAGGGCCAAGGTTTCCTATCCCTGGTATAGGGTTTCCTGCCTGAGCAGGAACTTCCAACATTGTTATTATTATTATTATTATTATTATTATTATTATTATTATTATTATTATTATCATCATCATCATCACCACCACCACCACCACCACCACCACCACCACCACCACCATTATTATTATTATTTAGAAACAATAAAAATGCTATTAGAGGGGGTATGTGTATAGCGTGAAGAGTAGCAGACCTTCTCGCCTTTTGTCCCTGGTGAACCAGGATGTCCAGGTCTTCCTATTGCGCCCTGTAAAACAAAGAAATAACATAAAACAAAAGAGTTTATTGTCATAACATTAAGAGTTTGAAAGTTTGTGCTTTTGGGAAGAAACAAATTATTTTTGTGCAATTATTTATTTAAACATGTATTTCATTTCATCTGATATATCAGATATAAACCAAAACAAACATTGTAGAGGAGACTCATTTTTCAGGTAAACCTTTTACCTGAAGGAAAACAAATCCTAACATGACATCATCAGCACCCAACAGGGCAACCTGTCCCTCAGTATTGGTGTAATTCCTGAGAAGTTCCTATCACAGTCTACACTGCCTTGCCTACATCATAGGTAGAACTCAGAAAAAAATCCTCTCCATTTGATCTGAGGATATGTCTGATACAGCAGAAAGCAGCCCTTCAGGTAATTTTTCCTAAACAAATGTGCAAATAAGTGCAAGTGCTACAGGATAAGTGAAATGAAGTCCAAGAATCAGCATGTGCAAACATCGTTGCTACTACTCAGGACTTCAAGAAGTTTCTAAAGTTTCTTCAAAGATGACCCCTGCTTCACTTCTTCATATAACTAAAGCACACATTACCCTTTATTTGAGGCAAAGTACTGCATCTTATTGATATTGTATGTCTTTGACATAATTTTTAAAATAGAACGGCTGAAAGTTGTTTTTCTGATGCCATTCCCTTTCTTTCCCCCAGCTTTGACAAATTATTTGCAATGATTCTATTTTTAAAATAATACAACTGTTTTTTTATATAACAGTGCATAGATGGTATTTATCACCAGAGAGATTGTCAAAAATATGTAGTGGGACTTCTAACAACTTTTGGAAATGTAAACACCAAGAAGGGTGCTTACTATTTTACCATCTTTGGGGGGGGGCTTGTCAAAAAGCCAAGCAATAGATTAATTTAAAAAATGAAGTTCAATATATAAGTCAGAGTAGAGACATTTTTGCCAGGGCTGAGGGAGAAATTGGAAAATTGCATGGTATTTTGTTCTTCTTTATGACAACAGCAGCAAGACTTCCATATGCCCAACCTTGGATGGATTTGATGATGCCTACAATGGATGAATGGTTGGTAAAGCTGATGGAGCTGGCTGGGATGGTGAAACTGATGACTCTGATTAGAAAAAGACATTGGCTAAATTTAATACCAACTGGAAGCCCATTTTGTATTTTTGGTGCAAAACAGAAAAAAATGAAGTTATGACATATGGATCTGAGAATCAGTAATATTTGTAAATTATAAACAAATGGAGGGTACTTTGTAATTGTAGAGCAATAGTTGAACTCAAATTTTATTTACATCTGCTGTAAAACAAGTCAGAAGTCATTCTATTGCGGGGTATTTTCGTTTATTTCTATATATTTTTTGCACTTCTATCTGCTATTTCTACATTCTCTCTTTTCTTGACTATTAGCTTTTTGTTAGTTTTTTATTTTTTACTTAACTTTCAAAAAACTTAATGAAGTTATATTTAAAAAAGAAACAATGTAACTATATTCAGTCATAACTAAGGGATATGTCACCACTGTATACACTACTGATACAACTGCTGTATTTTACTGAAATGATTTTGCCATATAGAACTTATTTTAAAAATTCGATGGATGAAAGTTATGTTTACAATTGCATTCTTTACCTACAAAGTTTCTGGTACTACAATGACTAAATGATATTCATCACACTCTGTTAAATTAAGACAGGTATCTAACATGAGGCTTCCTAAGAAGACTTTCATACTCCTTCCTTAACCAATTAACTCTTCTCAGATTAAATACCCCTAAGTAAACAGGGGTACTCAGCTAGTTTTACATGTACAAACAGGTGTAGTGGGTAGAGAATAATATGGAGTCTATGGAGATTTGCAGTCTTCCAGGTCACGGTTGTCCCCAAAGTGCTTTTTCAAAAGGCAACTGGACTTTATTTTTCCCTTGAAGATATTTTGCTTCTCACTGAAGCTTCTTCAGTTCTGAATATGGAGTGTACCTTTTGCAGATAATGCATTGCATACAACTCATCTCAGCATAAGAATGACAATTCTACTAAAAGAGAATTAGGGATATGACCACCATTTTATTGCAGTTACTGCAAAGGCTTCAAACATTATTTTCTTCCAAGTTATTGCATTATTTGTTTAAATTCCAATACTGTGAACATGTTTAGCCATTATTAGATGGAAATCTAATGGAGATCCTTTGCCCTTACCTTCTTTTTGGATGTTATTAAAACTTCTACAGCCACTTTACATTCCTAGGACTTCCTATTGATCTCCAGTGAAGTACAAACCAGATCTGACCCTGCTTAGCAGGGAATCAGCTAAGGTATTTCCTTTTGCTGTAACCTATCAAATACCATTATTTGCACTCAATTTAGAAAAATCGTGTTTTCAAGTCATATTAACAAGAACATTGAGCTGACGCTGTCAAGTAATTAGGCTGCAATATTTCATTGGCAAATATAAACTCAAACACTTACAGGAGGCCCTAGTGGTCCTGCCACACCAGGCAGGCCTGGAATTCCTTGAAGGCCCTGAAAGAAATTAAAATATGAGAATGGGAACATGTGAACTATGCTTGTGTGTGTGTGAGACATTTGTTTAAATCATTGCCAACAATCTTGACCTAAATTTATAGAAAATGCACACTTGTATAGTAGTAAATATTTCCTATACAATTAGTTTGGATAAGTCAAACATTATGATAACTGGTAAGAAGGTTCCTAAACACATAGAAAAAAAGCAGGTGCTAATTGAAGTTTACAATAAAACTGAATATACAATAAAAGTTAAAGACTATTGAAGAAACATAAAAAAAAAAAAAATCCGGAGTTAGAACATGTTTCTTGATACCATACTTTAATTCTCCCTTTCTGCTTGGGAAAAGAACCCATTTCTAGTACATGTATACTCTCTCAAAAATTCTCCTGTGAGGTTTGTTCAAAGATCAGTGACACCAGAAACATTTTCAGATTGACTTAAAGTACCACGCTGCTTTGCTGGTCTTGAAACTCTATTTCGTTCAGGTATAATCTGCTGTCCTGGAAAAAGGATTAATTTCGCCACTTGCAGTGCAATAGAATGTGAGACCCACTCAAGAGTGCTAGATTGCCTGAGAAGCTTATCAGCTGCACAGCAGTGTGACTCTTGCTTAGTAACCACATGAGTCTGTGTGGCACTCTACCAATCTAATGAAAAGATTTGTACTCGCTCTGGAGCCTCTTAAAAATCTAAGTGCCAGTTATAAACCAGCCCTTTTATTTGGATTTGCCTCTTGCCCCTGGGTTCTTAAGAGTATTGTTCGGGATGGCTTGATGTCAGGTGTCTGGATATTTTTGCTATTGCTGCTTCTTTTACTGCATTGCAAAGGAACCTGTCAGGATATTGTGAACCACCAAAATAAATAAACATTATTGTTTGCCTGTGCTAAATTTATTTTACTGCACAGGCTCCCAATTCAGGCTTCTGCTAGGTTGGCTGAATGGTTAAAACACTGAATCTTAGGTCTTTAAAGGTCTATATCTTGGCAGTTCGAGACCCAGGGGTGCTGCAAGACAGAGTGAGTTTCCGTCACTTGTCCCAATTCTTGCCAAGCTAGCAGTTCAAAAGCTTGTAAATGCAAGCAGATGAATAGATACCACATGTAGCATGCAGGAAGATCATAGCATTCTGTGTTTTGCCGTACCCTCTGTGCTGTGCCATGATGTCATGCTGGCCACATGACCACGAAAACATTTCCAGACATTTCCCTAAAGTTGGTCACAACCTGTAGGGTGGGTGCCATATTATGCAATGCTATATTGCTTTTTTGTTGTTGTTGTTTTTAGCCTTTGCTAATGGACATGGGACCATAAAGTATATATTGTTGTATACAGATGGAGCAGTATTTAAATCTCTGTTCATTTTTTAAAAAGTAAATAAATATTGTGTCTTCCCAAAGCAAATTATTCTGATAAGCTATTTGTCAAGGTATACATGACAGTATGAGACTAACTTGAATTATTCCTTATTACCAATGTTGACTTCTTTACAAAAAGAATCAATTTAGAGAAGTCTTAATAAAATTCAGAAAACCACATGATTCTAACCAAATTAAACCAGATCATAATTTAAAACAAAACAAAGGGGAGCCTCTTTTTTTACCTCTCCCACATAACTTATATGCTATTTAATGTTGTTTCATGCATTATATTAAATCATCTGATTTCATTTCAACAAATTGAAATTTCAGGGGGGGGGTTAAATTTATTTTACTCTGATATCCTAACAAAAGATTGCTGATGAAGCCAACAGGTAGCCAAAAGAGGGAAGTAGGGGAAAAAAAAGAGGGAGAAAGGAAAGAAAGGGAGAGAATGAAATGCAGAGAAAAACAGTCTAATGCAGGGCTGTTAAACTCGCAATGTCACGTGATGTGTCATGACATATCGTGATTTTTTTTCCATTGCCGGCAATGGGATGAGCGCGGTTTTGCTATGATGCATCAGGCCTGTGGGCTGGCAGTTTGATACCCCTGGTCTATGGAATAAAGGCAGAAAAAATAATGGAAAGAGATTTATGGAGAAGAGAAAAAGCATGTTATTCACCAAGGAGTTTTATTCAACTGAAAGCAAGAAATAACCTCTTTTATTTAAATTTCCTAATTTAAAAATTTCCTTGGTCAGGTGGAAATCCATGAAACTGCAGTCATGTTTTTTTTAGGCAGAGGAGACTTTTTGCCTTCTGTAATGTGGATAAGGAAAATTATTTTTTGCAGGGGTGGGGGAAGCATGAAGTAAATTTCAATTTGTGAAGAATGGATGGTGGAGAAATGCTTTCTCTATGTCAAAAATGTCTTGCTTTCCAGGGCTATAGTGAGAGGGCTAATAGATGTGGCAGTGACAGCAGCAAGGTTTGTCAAATGCCTGAATGCCTAGAATGAAGACTAGGAGGATGACAAGGGTAACACTAATAAGAAAACTATTCTTGTTACAGCAGGAGTAGATCTTCATACCTCATCACCTTTTCCTCCCAGAAGACCAGGAAATCCACGTTCCCCTTTGCTCCCCTGGGGACAAAGAAAATAGACATTGTCTGGTTTATAAAACACGTTTCTCACAGGAAACAGTTTCAAGTAATGGATGCCAAAATAGCACAGCAGAGATTGTAACATACTCCTTGTTTCTTAGTTCTAACAACTGCAGCATCAATGATGGCTTAAATGCATATAAACACTTACACAGTTAACTTTGTAATCCAATATATACTTGAAGTTGAATCCTACTAAAATCCAGAGAACTGTTTAATTTTCACTGAATTGCAGTGTTGATGCTGAATGACAGAGTAAGAGAGATCACTCTGTATATGTGAATCAGCTCGTGAAAAATGTTCAAGATAATTTTGTACAGGAATTCTCCTTGGTACTTCACTGTTCCTGCATCTGTAATGTGTAACATTAAGTAGGAAGTAAATTAAAAAAAAAGAATAAGAAAGGCTTAAACTTGCCATTTGTCCATGATAAATCAAGGGACCAGATTCAGGGTCTAATCATATGAAAATGAATCCAACAATAAACTAGTACAGGGGTGTCAAACTCAATTTCACTGAGAGACTCATCAGCATTGAGGTTGCCCTCGGGGGGCCACGTGGGTGTGGCCAGGATGGGTGTGGCCTACTGGGTGGGTGTGGATGAAGTGGGTGTGGCCTACTGGGTGGGTATGGCCAGCTCTAAATCTTTCATGTCAAGGGTGCCTGTGGGTGCCTGGGCAGGAGTGGAACAGATCTGAGGGTCTCTGGCAGAAGGGAGTGGGACCAGGGCAAGTGTCAAGGCATGATCCACTGGAAGAGCTTCACATGGTCCACTGGAGGGCCAAGGCAGAGGGGACTGTTCCCTCACTGTTTCCAGGATGGCTTCGCGGGCCACATAAAACCACTTCGCGGGCTGCATCCGGCCCGCGGGCCTTGTGTTGGACATGTCTGAACTAGTAGGACTACCACTATTGCAACTCAGAGGGCTCTTGTGCTAGTTATTTTGAAATCAGATTGAAGTGTAAAATCTGTGTTCTAGCAAAGTCCATTGCCTTGCCCAGATTCCTTCTCTTATAATGTTTCCTTCATAAATTCTGCTCAGTAAGTCTCCCATGCAACCATCTCCTTAATTACAAGGACAATTCTGAAATAAATCTCCTTTTGGTTATCAATGACAGACACTCTCAGATACAGAACTTTTATTATACACAGTAGAAAACTACAACATTACATTACTTTTTGACATAATCGCCATTCAAATTGAAGCACTTATCACAACGTCTTACAAGGTTTGAAATTCCTTAGTAGTAGTCACTCGGCACCAAATCTGGGCTATGTGGGGGTGGTGATCAAAAACAACCCAACGGAACTGCTTCAAAAGTTGTTGGGTGTATCTGGCAGTGTGCAGGCAAGCATTATCGTGAACCAACACCACACTGGAAGTGGTGCCATAGAAAATCCTGCCAAATGTGAAGATGCCTAAGGAGTACTGCTAGTGAAGTTCATGGAGTGTGGTTCAACCATCAATTCAGATATCTACTTGGAAACATTATGAAAACTCAGACGAGCCATCCATAAAAAGTGTCAGGGCATGCTGCCTTCCGGTGTGATATTGGTTCACAATAATGCTCACCCGGACACCACTAGACACACCCAAGAACTTTTTTTTTTATTAAAAGTTTTACAAATCCAATACATTATAACCCATACCCCTCCCACCCCTCCCCCCTCCCCCACTTCCCAGAGCTGATTACAGGGTAAAAAAAAATAAACAAACATAATCTAACTAACATAACCCGACTATACTATCAATCAAATCCATAACACACTTTAACTCCTTTTCAAAACAAGTATTAACAAATTAAAAACAAAAATAATAACATAATTAAACCATAATACTAAAAATAATATAAATTCAAACATATTGAACTATTAAAAATAATCTAAAATCTACTCATAAGCAAGATAATACTTTTCAATCTCATATTTCTTTTGAATATAATCAATCCATCTTCTCCAAACTGAAACATATTTTTCTTGTGAATGGTCCTTCAAATAGGCGGAGATTTCTGCTAAATTAGACACCTTAACTATCCATTCTTCCATAGTAGGCAAAGAGTTTTTCTTCCAATATTGCCCCACAAGTAATCTTGCAGCTGTTATAAGATTCAACATCAAATCAATTTCTTTGACATCAAAATCTACAAAAATAATTGCGGAGTAAACTTTATCTTTCTACCTTTCCTCACATAAATTACTCCTCCTCCTTTACACCCAAGAACTCTTGAAGCAATTCCATTGGGATGGTTTTGATCACCCCGCCCCCAGTGACTGCTACTAAGGAATTTCAAACCTTGTAAGACGTTATGACAAGTGCCTCAACTTGAAAGTGATTATGTTGAAAAGTAATGTAATGTAATTTTCTCATGTGTATAATAAAAGTTCTGTGTCTGCGAATGTCTCTCATTGATAACCAAATGGAGGTTTATTTCCGAATTGCCCTCGTAAAAGCTTCTGTGCCATTTCCAGAAGAGCTGACCAACTAGGGCTGGTCATTTATTCTGGGAGGGGCTGTTCAGAAATGTGGGATGTACATGGTCTTTTAATCTGCCAAAATGTTGATTAGTTCTGGTAGTGATAACAATGTATTTACAACTTTTAAAAGCAACAACCGTGCATGTATAATTAAATAAAATCCAAAAATGAGCAAATTTCATTTTAAAAAGCTCACATAAGGAACTCACCTTTGACCCTTCTCTTCCTGGGATCCCTGGGGGACCTCTTGGACCTGGATCTCCCTAATTGGACAAAGATAATGGTAGAGGGATTTTTTTTAAAAGTAGCATTGGAGAATGTATTCACACAGGACATCAAACTAGATATACCTTCCTGACTTCAAGGTCTTGCCTATGATAGGTCTGCAATGGTGCATTTTCTCCTCTGAGAAACATTCTGATCAAAAGCCACGGTGATTGTGAAGCAGAGCTTAAGGCAGCATTGCCTTATTTTGAATTTTTGTTCATGAAGTGATAAATAGAAGAATAGCATTAGACATTAAATTTAAGAACTATTTATAAACAGGCCTTCATTACTCAGGGGGATTCTGTAAAAGTTGCTAAAACAAAACTTTGGATAAGAAGACTGAAAAAGCATGGTTATGCATTCAAAAAATTTTTAGTCATTTTTACATTTGTGTGAAAGAAATATAATGTTTCAGTTTGGTATAGTGATCAGTGTTTCTCAACCTTGACAATTTTAAGGCATGTGGAATTCTGGGAGTTGAAGTCCACATGCCTTAAAATTGTCAAGGTTGAGAAACACTGGGTTAAAGCATCAGGCTAGAAACTGAGAGAATGTGAGGCACAAAGGCAGCTGGGGGACATTGGACCAGTCCCTTTCTCTTAGCCGTAGGAAGGAGGCAATTGCAAAACATTTCTGAAAACCCCTGCCAAGAAAACTGCAGGGCCTTGTCCAGACGGTCACTGAGAATTGGTCATGATTGAATAGAAGGGGAAAAAAAAAAAAGAAACAAAGTCATCCTCCAGACAAAAAGGGCACTAAAAACCACAGGCACATGAAACTCTTTACCCTAAATAATAAACTCTGAGTTGACTTACCATTTATGGTTAACAAAAATTGTTAAATTGGTGAATTATAAATAAGCCGAGGTGGCGCAGCAGTTAGAGTGCAGTACTGCAGGCCACTTTAGCTGACTGTGTTCAGCAGGTCAGCGGTTCAAATCTCACCGGCTCAAGGTTGACTCAGCCTTCCATCCTTCTGGGGTAGGTAAAATGAGGACCCAGATTGTTGGGGGCAATGTAAATACATATATACATTGCTTACTGGTGTACACCGCTTAGAGAGCGCTTGCACTTAAAGCGGTATATAAGTCTCATAAATAAATAAATAAATAAATAAAGGCCATTGATGTAGATCTTCCATTGCCTCTAACCATAATGTCATCTGTGGGGATATGGCTAGGAGACCAGTATATGCCAAAGACTGATAAGACTAAAAGGATCCAAACCCCCAAGCCTATGAAAATGTGTTTTTTAAAAATGGGATAGAGAGGCTACAAAAAGGCAATTACCTTTAATAAAGTACTTATATCACCAAGGAGAGGAAGAGCAACCTGTAATTAAACACACTTTTAGATTGGTGCTTACATGATCCCTAAACACATTGTTTTTTTTCTTTGCTGCATTTGTTTGTTCAGATAAGCAGTGTACGATACTTCCAAGAGCAGTTTACTTGGTATTAAAATGTAGCACTGTTTTTAAAGTTAATAACATATGCAGTTTGTCCCTATTTTTGACACTGGGGGAGATGATCAATAATTGCAGAAAGCCATCTGAGTCTAACCTGGTACAAATTGTTGTGAGATTTTATTATTTACATTTATTCTTTTTTTTAATGCTGCATTTCAGAACCCTATTGTTGATTTTATGGGCCAAGCTGAATAACTCAGGGGAAGTATCTCATTTGCTAGACAATGCTCTTCATAATTAGCTAGAACTATGACAATAGGAGGCTGACTTTCAGTCATCCACTAAATTCTTATAAAACCAAAAAACAGTGCTCAGGGAAAAAAGGAAGAAAGAAAAAGAGAAACGAAGGCTGAGTTGCTAACAGCTCTAGTCTTTGCAATTTGAATGCATGACTGGAGGATTGAAGCCTTACGAATGACGGGATACATAATCCAGTAGGGTTGCCTATATTTACTTGCTCTGAAATTTGTTTGAGGGATTGTTGGTCATTTTTGTTTTTCCTTATATTCTCCTTTTCAATTTTTTATATCTAAAGGTTTGCCTCTTTTACTCTAATAAGTGAACTTCTTACTAAAACTATTCCCACGGGCAAGACCACACGGTTACCCAGTTTCCCCTTAAGCTTCCAGCTTGTGAAGCTCAGCATTCCTATTTCTCTTCCCTTCTTGGTGGAAGGGAAGAACTCTGCAATTGGATTATCTTGGCAGGAGGTTCAGTTTAATTGGTGGCAGTTTATGAGAACTATTATTTTTTTTAAATAAAAGAAACCTTGGAAGAAATGCCTGCAAGGGAGACTTTACATTACATAATGTCCTTAAAAAACTAGGAAGAGGCTTGCAGAGAGAGTGAGGAAGAAATTTCGTCTGAAATTCTTCAGCTTTCCCAATTTCTCTTCCTAACTCAAGCCTTAATTATTTAAAACCCCTCCCAGCTCTTTGGGAGGGCTTGAGACAAGGAATTTGATATTCTGCGTAGCACGAATTCTTGTAGTTGTTCATATAATATACCCAGGAGTTATGGGGGTTACCTCAGTTTATATCTTTTCTAGCAATATAGGAATTATTTAAGGAATTGATTCAAAGATAATTTCAATTCTTCAAATGTAAACAATTGACTATATATATATATATATATATATATATATATATATATATGTTTTCTGAGGTTTTCGCGGGTGTTTGCATGTAGGTCTTTGGTTATTCGGGTTTTCTCCCGCGTAAAATTGGAAGTGTCTTGTCAACGTTTCGACGAAGTCCCATTCGTCATCTTCAGGCTGGTGTTTTCAGCTTCGTACTTTGAGGAGCACAAAGCTGAAAACACCAGCCTGAAGATGATGAATGGGACTTCATCGAAAAGTTGCCAAGACACTTCCAATTTATATATACAGGTAATCCTCAACTTACAACCACAACTGAGCCCAAAATTTCTGCTGCTCAGCTGGAGGGTTATTAAGTTAATTTTGCCCCATTTTATGATCTTTTTTGCCGCAATTGTTAAGTGAATCACTGTAGTTATTAAGTTAGTAACACAGTTGTTAAGTGAATCTGGCTTCCCCATTGACTTTGCTTGTCAGAAGGTCACAAAAGGGGATCACATGACCCTGGGACATTGCAACGGTCATAAAAAGGAGGCAGCTGCCAGGTGTCTGAATTTTGATCACGTGACCATGGGGATGCTGCAATGGTTGTAAATGTGAAAAATGGTCCTAAGTCACTTTTTTCATGGCACTGTAACTTTGAATGGTCACTAAATGAACTGTTGTAAGTCGAGGACTATCTGTATTCAAATTTTAGTGATTTTAGACACATTTGCCTTCAGTGTAAGAGAGTTGAGTTAGTTTATATACATACTGGGTCACCTGGAGGGCCTGGGATTCCTGGCTTTCCATCTCGTCCTGGAATACCCTAAATGTACATAAAAACAGGGAAGAATTTGTTATTGTTGTATTGCTTGAACCTTGTTCAAGAAGATATTTACTATCATGTATTTATTAGTACTTACATTAAGGCCAGGAGTTCCAGGAGTCCCAGGTAATCCAGGAGGCCCTCTTGGTCCCTGTGCAAGGAACATTTGGAGCATCAGGTATCAAGGAAGACGTACACAATAAGCACAATGAAAGTATTGACCAAGATTTCCTATGAAATATCTTACTTGGTATCCTGGTGTCCCAGGAGGCCCTCTAAGACCCTGAAAAACAGAGCAATGAGTGAATACAATCCTCCTCCTCCTCCTCCTTTTCATCGTTACAAAAAAGGGGGTTATTACTGCTATTGAAACTTGCGCAAGTAAAAAACCCACCCAGGATTTCAAAAAGATAGAGCTGGACCTCATATCTGGTTATTCATGAGCATAAAAGTATCACTTGAGGCTAAGATTCTTTTTAGCCAGATCTGTTGATTACAGCAGAACATGTTACTGTATTGGAAATTATGATAGGAAGCTTCTTTCACCAGTCAGATCATTGTTGAGTCTAAATTAGCACCATCCATCCAGATTGATAGTTGCCCTCGGGGATCTAAGTATGGAGTTTTTCTAGCTCTGCTTAGAGATTCTGCCTCATTTTAGACATGGTTCCTTGTAAGTGGGGGAGGAGTAATTTTTTTTTAAACATCCATCCATCCATCCATGCATGCATTCCTTTCAGATGTCATCCTCACTAACATGTTACTGTTAAATAAAGCTTCTCAAGATATTGGTCAAGGCCCTCTGTGGGGTTATTAGCAACTTAGAGGATGAATGATTAAATTCCACAGGCAAAGCAGGAGGGCTATCAAAATACTTATAGCTCCAGCCATCTGTCAAAACCCTCTGCTAGCAGTTTTTAAAATGATTATTTACTCAGCTATTACTTATTTATATTGACGAGGGAAGGTTACATAAATTCATCTTTTCCTTTAGGGGATTCTGGAATTTAAGAACCCTCGCTGAAAAGAGATGTTTAATATCCGATTTAAGACCTAAATACAAATGTAAAATATACAAAACATGACATTCATAACTGTGTAAAATAACAGAGAAGAAAATTCCCAAAACTACTCTGCTTCAAATGATATGCTTGGGAGAATAATATGACCCAAAGGCATCTTTATCCCTGAGTAGATAGATACAATGTGCAGAACTGTGCTTCTGGCTTAGTTGCACTCTGGGAAGAGACAGGAACAATTGCCTTGCTAGGCAGCAATATATAATTCCTTTCTCTCCACTCCCTTGACAGTCACGAAACCCAAACAGGAACAATTTTATTTAGCCGTTCTATTCAGACACACTACTAAATGTAGTAGTGGGATCAGTCAAGAGCCATTTTATCATTTCTTTACAGAGGAAAAGAAAATACACATATAAAATCATATATTAGAGGTAGAATTGCCATCCGTGCTGCATCAATGAAGCAATTACAGAATGACATCCATGTTAATAATGGGGTGAAAGAAGCACAAAACAAATTTTGTACTTACAGGTAGTCCGGGGGTTCCATTCCCTGCTGGCCCCATCTCTCCTGGAGGACCCTGCACCCCAGGAAGCCCTCTTTCTCCCTGATAAAGGAACAAGTCTTTGTTTTTTTAAAAAAATCATTGAATAAAAGCACGACACCAAACAATTAAAATACAGGATTAGAATAGGCTTTCCCTACCTTAGGCCCTCGTGGACCTATTGTCCCAGGAACGCCAGCTAATCCCTAATATAGGGGAAAAAAAGATGGAGAGAAAGCTATGTATATTAGTGCAAAATGAGGCCACACAAACAATTCTTAGTGCCCCAAGAAGGGTGCATGTAAAACCTTGGCTTGATGAATTGTATTGGGTGCCAGTTTGCTTTTGAGTCCAATTTAAGGTGTTGGTTGTGACCTATAAAGCCCTACATGACATAGGCTACCTACGGGAACCGTCTTTTTTCCAATTCATCAACCCATCCCCCTTGGCAGAGAAGGTATGTTACACATGCTGTCAATTAAATAACTTCAACCGATGGGGTCTAGAAAGAGAGCCTTCTCTGCCTCTGCGCTATGGAACACCTTCCCACCAGAAGTGAGACAGGTCCCCACTCCTATGGCCTTCTGGAAAGGAGTTAAAACACGCCTCTGAAGCCTCCTTTGGGAAGCTTAGAGGACCATGAAGCTGTGGGGCTGGTTGGTGCCCCGAGAACCCTCCCTTCAACTTTTTAACTAAATTGTAAAATATCTTAATCATCCTTGCTTCCTTTTAAATTCTAAATTTTTTAATTTAAGTATTATATGCTGTTTTTATATTTTAGCATTTATTGTACAGGGCTCAGAGTTCCTCCCTGAGGAAGATGGGCAATTTAAAAACATGAAAAAAAAAGATGTTTTTGTCTAATTAGAAAATAATAAGTATTCTTAAACTGACAAGAAAAAAAAATCTAATTTTAGACACAGGTGTCTTATTGTACAAAAACAAATAAGATATCTTGTAATGATAATTATTCACTACTGTTTTAGTTTCACAATAATTGATGAGCTAATTATTTATGAGAAGTAACAAAGGGAAGCATGGTGGGGGGAAGGCTAGAAATGTGTAGAACTGAACAGCTTACAAAACGGAGTTATCTGCAGCTGTTTGCTTTAGAGAGATCTTTTCCAAAAGGCTCATTACTTATAACCTGATGGCTCTGAGTTACCGTAAATGCCGGCGTACAAGGCGACCCGGTGTATAAGACGACCCCTGTCTTTATAGCCGGGCCGCATTCCTAGAATGTCGTCTTATACACCGGAAACTACCAGTATTTCCGGCGTATAAGATGACTCGGCGTATAAGACGACCCCCATCTTTGGCGCCGATTTCAGCGCTCGCGGAAGTTGCCTTATACGTCGGCATTTACGGTACATAAGCCTACCTTTGAAAATACTCAGTGCTGGGTAAAAAAACAAAAGGCAACGTCTATGGACATTCTCAATCATCCAGGTCAGGGTTGTCCCAAAGATGCTTTGGGAGGACAAAAGGCAATGTGTGGAATGTTGTATGGACATGGTGGAAGCAAGGATGGTTTGCAAGAATAGAAAGCTAGGGAGAGATATAATAAGTAGTGTTGGTGAAAACTAGTTTTTGCTAGGTTTCCTTTTCCTTATGTCACGCTTTTGAATTTTTTGACATATTATTTCTTTCTCCTTTCTGTACTCTACATAACATTGCTTGCCTTGAATGAAATAGTATATGCGATGCTGGTAATTCTATTAGAGGCCGACCTTTTACTTCTGCTGACCTCCTAGGCTTTTCTGCCATAGAATACTTAATGGTACTTACTGGTTTTCCTGGAAGACTTAATCCTGGAGGCCCTGGGTCACCTTTAGAACCTGGAGGCCCAGGTGGGCCTATGATTCCACCAGAGTCTCCCTATGTAATATAGACAAAAACAATGCTAATTTGATAGGAAGTTACAAGAGCCAGATTAATGTATCATATTTAAATTAACTGCATTATCTTATCTCCACATTCTTCCTGTGTTGTCAAACTACCTGTCAACGTAGGTAGCCGCTTTCTTAGCTATATTCCCAAGTAGCCTCAGTCAATTAAGTTTTATATCATCCTTGTTGCTGGATCAAAACTAGTGGGATTGCTTGTATTAGCAAGATTTTTTTTTTTTTTAAAAAAAAATCCATTCCAATGCAGAAACTCTCTGAAAACAAAGAACAAATCTCTGCTGGAGACTCCTAATGTTGCAATCATTTTGTGGGTGCTTTTTGGCAAAGGGGGAGGGGAGATGACCGTGCTTTGCTGGAAAGCCCACTCCCAAAATGGATAAAGCTAAGACAAAGTGATGGCTGATGCTAGACAAGACATAGATTTAATTTCATTTAAAAGAAAATCAACTTCCAATAAATGTAATAATTTATCTATTAATTTTATTGTAACCATTAAAATTACAGCATGGTGGAATTTTTTAAACATTTGGGGAACTGAATGAAGCCAGATATTACTTTTGCTCCTTTTAGTTGATAGGTAGTAAAGAGTTTCTACTCTTCAGTTAGAAACATTGCCTTAGTTTAAGAATATTCATTGCAATATTTGTTTTTACAACAAATAAGATAGCAAAAACATAGAATACTGAACATGTTTGAAGTGGACAAGATAAAACCTATATAGCACTGGTGGTGAACCTATGGCATGCACCATCGCCCCAGCACACATGGTCTGTAAAATTTTGCCATCACTGGCCTAAGGCCAGCCAGCCCAGAACTGCCATTGGGGAGGCGCCCCCTCCCCCTGCAACAGTGCAGCTGTGCCTTGCTTACGGGCAGGCAGGGTGGGGCCTTGTGGAGGAGGAGGGGCTCATCCCTCCATGATAAGCTGCAGCTGCGCTTGGCGGGCAACCTGTAGGAGCTCAACTCCATTGCGCTGGCCATGTGGTTGCAGTTTGCACCACTGCACCTGCTGCTCTGGCGGTGCTTCCAGACAGTCACCATCCTCCAGTGGGTCTTCTCCTCTCTGGTGGTGGGTGAGGACGGGACGGTGCCTACAGCGGCAAACTTGGCTGTGTCCCAGCCACACGGCAGTTCACAGGAGTGGCTGTGAATGGAGCCCGAGGTGGGGGTAGGCAGGCAGTTATGGCACCCGGCTTGGCTCTTGTGGGTGGCAGTTTGCTTTGCTTCGAGTGGGGCTGCCTTCCCAAACCCCACTGCTCCAGCCCTGCAGAGAGCTGCCACTTCCTTTCAGCTGGGGCTGTCTGGGGGCAGGAGCAGCTGGAGCAGTGGGCTCCTGAGCACATTCAGAATGCCACAGTTGCCACTGCTCGGGGACTGGCGAGGTGGAGGAGAGGGTCATCCGCTACCTCTCTCATAGCCTAGTGCTGCCTGGGGATTTACCTGGTGCTGCTGCTCAGGAACGTCTGGCTGCTGGCGCTCAGCTATGTGGCCTGGCTCTACTTGGACTGGGAGATACCATCTGCGGGGGCGCCGCTCTGCCTGGGCCATCTGGCGATACTTCTGGGACTATTTCCCCATCACTGTGAGCAGAGGAACCAGGAGGCTCCCGCTGGTAGCAGGGGCATCGAGCCTGGTGGGACACCCACTTTCTCTGTTCAGGGGGAGCTGGCTCCACCAACACAGCCTTGGCAACAAACCGCTGCAGGCCGTGAGAATGCAGGGCTCAAAGTGGTGCTGGAACTTCTTGGGGAGAACCATCCAAGCATGGTGGGGGTCACCCTCCTTTAGATGCACGGCCTAAACCTCATCTCCTCCACCATTGTCAAGCCAATGTTCCACAAATGCTATCGTTTCTGTGCCCCTTGGTCAGAAAGTGTCGGCCCTTTTAGACTTTTATTTTTATTTTAAGCTTTTATTATGTCCTGTCTGCTGCAGCTGCTGGTCCCCATCTTCCAGGAAGCAGCTGCTCCCCTGCCCCCATTGACACTGCCCAATCTGCATATGCCCCTTTCACTGCATGGGGCTACTGTTGTTGCTGCCACTGTTGATAACTGCTCGATGCACGCATGCACGCATCGGCCAGCCTACCACTTCTATGTCTCCTTTGCCAGGCCACTGCTCCCGCTCCCCTGCTGCCATCTCAACGGAAGCAGGGTATTTGGCCCTTGAGAGTAGAGGGTGGGGCTGGAAAAGCCCCAGCTGGGTGGGGGAGTATGTGCGCACTCTTCTTCTTGAGGAGTTTCTCTCTGAACGCTTGTACTTCCACATTGCCAGACCATGTGTGAAGGCACATGCGGGCTCATCTCAAGAGAGGCATTGGCCACGTGGGAGATGGGAAAGTTTAGGCAATGGCACCTCCACCTTGCCCCTTGCCTCACCTCACCTCAACCCACAGGATGAGCCTCTTGCCCATCGCCCCACTCACCAGAGACCCCTGGATCTCCTCCAACCCTGCTCGGCCCCCACAGGCATCCCTCCCCACAAGCAACATCAAGGTGGCCATGCTCACCCCAGCCATGCCCACCCAGTCTGCTGTGACCAATGGGTAGGCAGCAACCGGTGATAAATAAGTAGGTTTTGTGTTGCAGTTTGGGTGTCAAACTGCCGGCCCATGGGCCAGACACATCACCAGGAAACCACACTCACCACATTGCCAGCAATGGGGAAAAAGCTCTGATACATGACATCGCAAGTTTGAAATTTCTGCTCTTAAAAGGTTCGCCATCACTGCTATATAGTAACTGAAGCAAAAACATTGAAAATACATGCAATTATTTGATATTGGTTTAAAAATTACCTTTTCTCCTTTAATCCCTGGTTTTCCAGGTATTCCATTTTCTCCTGGTAAACCCTAATTAAAAAGAAAAATATATTGTCTTGAACTTTATAGTTAATTATCTATTAAAAGAGTAGTAAACTTGGAAAAACTACTTCTATTATATAATGGACTTCACTAAAATTTTCCTTTCTCAAAATTAAAGGTACAATTCAAAGAATACAAATTTTATTTAAAATATTTATGGTCTATAAGACAATGGAATAAAAAGAATTATATTTATTTGTTGCTTAGGAGAATGGATGATTAGCAAGACTGGTTTCCATTCATTTATATATTATGCAGCAAGGCAAATATAATTATCTAGAGTACGGCATGTAAAAAGAAAAAGAATTGACTAAAAGTTTGAAATCTGAGACAAGTAAAACATTTTAAATGTATCTGTATATTGTACATTAGTTATATGACAAAGGGGAAATTAGAAACTATATTTAAGGTTTCAGTAATTTCATCTTCTTTTTATTTTTTGTATTTTTAAACAAAAAATAGTGAAAATTTTGGCACTTAGCTCAGAGATTTAAATTCTTATATTGTTAAAATAATATAATGAATGTAAATGTAATTTAATGTTTTAAATGAGTAATTTCTAATCAAAGATATACTGAGCACTAACTTTACAATCTTGGTAATTCCTTTGTACACTTATTATGCTACTGTAGAAAATTAATATTTTTTTTATTGTTTTCTTTTTGTTTGTTCACTTTTTCTTTTAAAAATGATTAGTACATTTAAAACAGATATAGGGCAAAACATAAGCACTAAATCAGTGTTTCTCAACCTTGACAATTTTAAGGCATGTGGACTTCAACTCCCAGAATTCCACAGCCAGCATTGCTGGCTGTGGAATTCTGGGAGTTGAAGTCCACATGCCTTAAAATTGTCAAGGTTGAGAAACACTGCACTAAATGATCTTTCCTTTTTTGCAGATAGTGCTAGATATTTCTAAGGCAAATGAATTGTTTAAGAAATTGTAATGTGATCTTGATTTTATTAAAAATGATCATAAAATCAGATTTGTTTCTTTGACATACATTTGTTTTTTAATTTGCTTTCAAAGCATGAGACATAATGTCATGGTTCCAAAGCTAAGACCAACAAAATCAGAACTCCAAGGCTAGAGGTTTCCTCAAAGAACATATTTATTGGTTACAAAGTATCAGCACAATCAAAAGTGAAACCAAGTCTGCAAATGGCTACATTCCCCAATAGAATGATTTGGCGGGCTTTCTAATAAAACGCTCAGCCCTCCAAGCTAACTGATAGAATGACCTTGGTTCCCATGGGAACCAGAATTGTTTAGACTAGCAAAAATACTCTGCGCCCCCTCCCTTTCTTGTGGCAACCTAGAATGAGCAAGATGGCTTCAGCCAGGTTCATTGTAGAGTTGACACATAATTTATAACTTTATATATTTAAAGGCTGTAATGAAGGAAGCAGATATAATTGCATGACAAAAAGTTTTCCAGGACACTTTGCCTCAACTACATTGACTTTATTATCTATCCTATTTCTTTTTATCTCTGACTTTAAATAAAAGAACATGAAACATGAAATAAGTTAGAATATATAAACAAATGGGCCATTTTTTAGAGTTCTATTCAGGTTTACATTATGTATGTGACCATTCTAAAATAAATTCTTAAGAAGAGAAGCAGAAAATTAAATAGCTTTGAGGCTTTACAGTTAATTTCATTCAAAGAAAATGATGCATCTCATCTTTATACCATATCTATCTATCTATCTATCTATCTATCTATCTATCTATCTATCTATCTATCTATCTATCTATCTATCTATCTATCTATCTATCTATCTACCTACCTATCACTGGAAATAGTAAAATATGTCAAAAAGTGTATGAATTTACAAGAGAAAAAGGAATTATTTCCATTACAGAAAAAAAAGTTTATTTTATTTCATTTCTGTGTAAGGTGAAACTCACAGACTTTGATTGCTTGTTGATAAGGCGGCCATTTATATAGGCATACGAATGTTAAAAAAACTAGATTTGAATTACTATGTTCTGTTCATGATACAGATGAGAAAAATATCTATGTTTTAGCGTCTTACAATGAGTTCAGAATAGCATACCAAAATATGTGTACCTCACTGTTTTTACAATTCGTGTAAAGTAGAACACTACGGTAAAGTTTCACTCGCCCAAGATTCCTCAGTAAATTTCATGATTATCTGAATTTAACTTTTCTTGGCAGCTACCATCTCATAATCCATTTCTACAGATGGTGGATTAGGAAGTCTAAAAACAAAATCTCTTCTTAGCTATTTAATGCTCCTGGAATAGTAGTTAACATAAATAATAGTGAGACAATTGAGAAAACAGTCATGGCCTTTGGACCCAGACTCAAAGGTTGTAACACCTGAGAAATACTTTAATTAAGTGAGTAATGTTTAATTACTCCGAGGCTGAGCTGTGGCCAATGTAAATCTTAGTGATGTGAACTCCACATAAAAATATATGGCAGTACAAATGTATATGAGTAAACAGGGCAACAATATGATTCAAGAAAATGAAAAAAGTCTCTGGACTTGGAAACGAATGCAACAAAATGGAGCATGAAAAGGACTAGATAAAGTCATGAGAAGAGGTCTAAAAGCCAGATGAATCCAAGGCTGTTATTTGGAATGTTCATGCTCAATCCAATACCAAAATAAAGATGCAGGTACATGAATTCAAGGATAGTTATACATTTAAAATAAATAACACAGAGAGATTAAAAGCGTGAGTGTGGGGAATGAAAAATCTGAAAAAAAATCTGAAAAAAAAAATCTTAGCAATGTGACTGCACAGAAAGGACTGAATATTCCAAAGCTATGTGTTCCAGAAGCACTTTTTCATTTAGGAGATAATGTTGAGGAAGGACATTTCAGGATTTGTCTACTGTTCCTGCCAGAAGTAAGAATTAGCCTCATGGTTTGTGTGACTAGAGTAGTAAATAGGTAATAGATGAAAGGAAGTTGACCTGAAAATCAGGTGTTTGCATATACTTGGAGTTCTATAGAATCAGTTTTAATTAATCACTAATGGACAGGCATAAACCACTTAATATTGTTTTCCCCATCTGCCAGGTAAAAACTGGGGATCTTAGCAACATTCAAGCCTATAGCTTCATTCTTCTGGAAAAAAAGTATGTCAAAGTGTAACTAAAAATACGGCAATTCACATTTATACTGTAAACTGTCAAAATAATTATTAAGGCTCACCTGCTTAGTAACAGTAGCAAAGACACAGAAATAGAACAGCATATTTGTAACTATCCAGAAATATATAGCAATAAAACTACTGAGGCCTTCTACAGTAGCAATTTTACAGGATCACCTAGCTATTGTTGTAGTGATATAAAGACTGCCTTAGTGATTTATTACCACACTTGACGGGGTGATTGAAACCATAAATTGTTATCATGGAAAACCTCAGCATGTCTGGCTCCAGATCTTTGCACATTGAATAGTCTCTCATATACCTTGTAAAGTGAGATCACCAACATTTTAATATTATTTCGTTGGTTAATATTGTACTTGAATAATTCTTACAAAGAGTAGTATGATACTTGCCATTTCTCCTGAAGATCCTCTGGGGCCAGGTGGTCCTGGAATTCCCTAGAAAATAGTGATAACAATATGGAATTTTTAGAAAAGGAAGAGAAACTCCCCCCTCCATATATTTATACTGTTCTTTTTAATAAAGGGATTTATTTGAAGAAAATACATGAAAATGTAAACTTCTTCTAAGCAACCGATATACAATTCTTTATTGTTTAAAGATGTAAAAATCAGTATACTGAAACTGGCACCAAAATGGTTAAAATAATCTGATTTTGCTAATGTCTACATGCAAAAGGGGGGGGGAAGTTTGTTCTAACTAAAAGACTACACAATTTCCAGAAGTCACTCCACTACATGCAATAGAAAATGTAATACAGGCAGTCCTCATTTAGTGACCCTCTTGTTTAGCAATGATTCACAGTTACTACAGTAATTAAAAACTAACTGTGTGACCAATTCTTGAATTTATGACCTTCACAAGTCTGTAAAAGAAAGGAAAGCTGAAGTAAAACAGCAATATATACCGCTTCACAGTAGTTTATAGGCCTCTCTAAGCAGTTTAAGCAGTTTAACTGCCCCCAATAATCTAGGTCCTCATTTTATTGACCTTGGAAGGATGGAAGGCTAAGTCAACCTTGAGCAGGTCAGGATTGGGGGAATTGAACTCCTGGCCTGCAATACTCTAACCACTAGGCCACCATAGCTCTTACGATTGTAGAATTATGGTGTTTCACTTAGCAATTGCTTCACTTAATTGTTGGTCCCACTTGTGATCACTAAACAAAAACTATCTAGAATTAAGTGTGCTTCTGTGTCTGAATTCAAAGACCTTTTTGTCTATTTCTGAGACAAGGAAGGAAACTAAATCTCCAGACTGGTCTTGGATTAGTTGGAGACTTCTTCTCAGTTTTTTTTTTTTTAAAGAAGCATGGGAAATAGGAAGTGATGCAATTTATTCCAGTAGTAATTTTCAGAAGCTGTCCTCTGGCTTCTCCACTTGATGAGAAAAATTGGATATTAAACAAAAAAGGGTTTTCAGCTGTGGTGTCACTCTTATGTCCATGGCATGGAGCCATTCCTATCTCTAAAATTGATGCCTCCCATCATATAATCTATTTATCTCTAAAAATATGGCTAACATTAATTTTATTATTTCAGCTTGATGTCTTATTTTTCTTGCATCTTTAGAAACCTATTTTAGTTTTATTTTAATTGGTGGATTTTCTGTTAATTAGCTTTGACTACCTATGCAAATTGAAGGTCAAAATACACATTATTGTCTAAATAGAATGAAATAAAATGCATGTTCTTTGCGGAAGAAGTAGCATTCTTAACTTTAGTTTGGGGGTGGAAAATCTGTGGGGCTGCAGATGTTGCTAAAATACATTGCATTACTGCTGTGGAATTCTGGGAGTTGAAGTCCACATGCCTTAAAATTGTCAAGTTTGGGAAACACTGCATTACTGGATGTGGTATTTGATTACTGCTCATTAAATATAATTTACATACCCAAGGTCCTGGATTTCCAATAGACCCTGGAGGACCAGACTCTCCTGCTTCACCCTAACACAACATTTTAATAAAAGCAAGTTTTTAGAGATGAAATTGCAGAGTTGGTAAGTATATATATTAATGACATATGAGTATGTTTCTAATGTCTATAGATCAATTTTACTCTTAAAAATGAAATCACTTGCAAAGCAAATACCGGTAGTTTGACTCTAGAACCTGTTAGTGTAATCTCTTTGCAATGTGTTCCCAATGGTGATATGCTAGTAGATGGTTTCTTTTTACATACAGCATCATGCTCATTTATTGTAGAGGTGGTCCTTGTGATCCATGGCTTTGCATAAATGTGGACAATAAATTGAGATCAGACAACCTTATTATGGATGGTAAAGGCATTTGTGTATCTCCAGTTTTTGGTTTGTATTTCTGTTTATAAGAAAGCTTCTGAAATGTTTTGTTTGTGGATGTGCAAATGTTACATGTGTACTTTTGTCCAGATCTTGTTATCTAAAAGTGGTATTATCACTTGCTAATTAAAATTCACCTATGACTAAAATCTAATCTTGGTGTTTGGGGACTTCTAGAAGTATATGGAGCATGCCCCGGAACAAGGATAATATTGGATATAATTCATCACTTTCACTGGAAGTAACCATGATCACTGAGTATCATCAGTTAATAATGAAGAAAATAATCTCTGAGCATTTGCTCAGATAAGTAATTAAGGTGCTGTCATCCCTTCACAAATACTTCTGGAGCAAATCAATCCCTTGATCTGTAAATTTTGGTCACCATACTACAAAAAAAATATTGAGACCTTGGAAAAAGTTCAGAGAAGAGCAACTAAAATGATCAAAGGTCGGGAGACTAAAACATACGAAGAACGGCTGCAGGACTTGGGTTTGGCTAGTCTAAAGAAAAGAAGAAACAGGGGCGACATGATAGCAGTATTCCAGTATTTGAGGGGCTGCCACAAAGAAAGAATTAAGGAGAAACTTCCTAACAGTGAGAACAATTAACCAGTGGAACAGCTTGTCATGGGCGCTCCATCATTGGAGGTTTTTAAGAAGAGACTGGACAGCCATCTGTCTAATATGGTATAGATTCTCCTGCTTGAGCAGGGGGCTGGACTAGAAGACCTCCAAGGTCCCTTTCTATTCTATTCTATTCTATTCTATTCTATTCTATTCTATTCTATTCTATTCTATTCTAATTTATATCATGTGATAATTGGATTACATAGAGTAGTGATAACAAATTCAGCCACCAAATCTGTCAGATGTTCACAACTGGATGTAACATTTCCATAAGGCCTATAAATTTAAAATTCAAGACACAGAGTCCCAATGGGGAAAATAATATAATTTCAGAAATAATTGCGTAACTGGAATCTAAGCATAGATCTTTATGCAAATGTCCCATCTGTAAAAAAAAAAAAAGGATATGAAAGAATACCAGTGCATCCAATAGATAGGTCATGAACTAATTTCTCCAAGATATGGGCTTCTTCCAGAGATAATTGTCCAAACTAGATTATACTCTATCCTCCTATAATTGCAATTATTTGAGCATGCTGATAACACACAAAAATTCACATTTTATCCACAAAGAAATTCTAAATGTATTGACAAGTATTGACTAAATGTATTGACTCACAGGATCCTGTAAACATAAAGCTATTTTTGAGCTGTACTTACAGAGTCCCCCTTTTCTCCTTTTTCAGATGGTTCTCCCTGTGACAGAGTACAAGTAAACTCAATATTTATAAGGACATTTTACTCAAATCCAGATTTCCTCTCTGTTTCTAAAGGTTTTGGCAAGAATGAAACCCACTTTTAATTTCCAGAAATCCAATTTAAAAAAAGCTGCACAGTCATAACTATCAATAGCAATTGATAACTTACTTTTTCTCCTTTTGCACCTTTTAATCCCTTTTCATCTCGAAGACTCTTTCCCAAAAAAGAAAATCAAAATCAGTTCCTTCTAATTTGTTAACAAACTAGAGATCAATTTCCCCATATCTTCCTCTTCATAATGGTTATCCAATATTCCTTTCATGAGCAATTTACACTATATACAGTAATTGGAATCTAAATACTGAGGAATCATATTTAGAGGAGTAATATATGCATCTCTGCATTTCCAAATGAATGTAGCTGGCATATTTCAAATTACTTCAAATTGAAAAAGTGTTTTGAAAGTCAAGGGTAACATGCCAACAGAGTTCAGCATTGCTTATTCTCGAAATAAAATTGTATGTCTGTAAGTATGTGATATGCGATAGGTGTGTGGGATGGAAAGGGTTGTGTGAATGATACTGGTTCAAAATGTGGTGCCCTGGGTGGAGTAAGCTACTTTAGCAGATATTAATGATTGTCACATTGATTGCTGATTATCTTTCCCTGTTCAGTTCAAACTGGTAATGTTATCCTATAAGGTACTACAACCAGTGCTTTTTTTCTAAAAAAAAAAAAAAAAAAGGTGCCGGAACTCACACACGTCATACAACCCGCCTTGCCTACCTTACAAGGTTCCATCCAAAAAAGATACTGGAACTCCGTTCTGGGCGTTCTATGAGGAAAAAAAGCCCTGACTACAACTATAACTTACTCCCACTTACTTTGGGACTGTGTGGTTTGACTAGAAGCCACCCATCCTGTGTGATCATTCGATAGGGGTTGTTCAGGGTCCTCATCCTATGGGAAATCAAGGAGATCAGGGACCAGAGGCGAACCATCTTTGTGGTGGCACTGACACTACGGAAGAGCTTAGCTCCTCATTCATTTTTGGCATTTGGAAAAATGTACAATCTTAGCCTGTTTAATAGGTATTTATGAGTTAATGGTGATGATAATGGTGTCTTTTGTTTTGGCTGAATTTAATACTGTTCAGTATTGTACCTGTGACACTTGTATGAGAGGAAATTGAAAGATGTTGGGGTTTTAATTATTAACATAACATAACATAACATAACATAATGGCAATTGATTTAAAAGTATAATAACATTCATTTAATCTTTGTTCCTGGCATCTTCCTTTTAAGAAGTCTGGTTCTATCCAGTGCATGTATCTGTGTTTTGTGCATACAGTATGTGCACATTCTCCCCTGTACACAACATATTTCATGCATATATTTGTTAGATTAAAAAAATATATTCAGAATTGATTTCAGTTGAAATTGGTAACCTTAATTGACATGCTAGGTAAACCAGATTACAGTATAAACTATTTTTGAGAATATTAATAACAGTTTTCCTATCTGATTTTCCCATGGATAATAATCATGGGGGTGTAACAGCTTTTAAAAGTCAAGAGTGTCTTTCTTTTAGGTAAAAATATTATTTGTTTCAATGATTTGTTAGTAACAACAAATTTCTAGATATTAATAGAGTAAATTGTTCTCAATATTATATTGCCTTTAACTTAATTTATTGATATCCAGTCTTGAAAATTTGAATCACTGTTGCAACCTGAAACCCTGGTTCCAGAAAGTCTAAGTACTTAAGCTGAAGTTTAGACTGATAAATCATCTTTCTAAATACTAAACTTAGCAATTCTTTTCTGGAAAGTTGTTTGCTTAAGAATAAATCATTAAATGTTTTGCATTGAACAGCTGAAGGAAGGAGTGTATTAGTACACTCCTTGAGGGTTAAAGATGATTAATTTCTTGAAGGCAAAACAGCTGGCCCCCATGTTTTGCCAGAAAATATTAACTGGGAAACATGATAAGGCATAGGAATTTCAAAGGTCTTATAATTGTAAGAAACATGAATCTGGCAGACATACATATCATATCCTGAGGACCTCAACTTGGGTTCACGTCACCTGCCACAAACTTAAATAGGAATTAAGAGGCTACTAAAATATGCAAAATATACTAAGAATGATTGCAAGAAGCAAGTTATACATAATGAAGAAAAAATGATTGGATATAATTAATTTTCTAGGCACAAAAGATTAATAAATATAAAGCAGCTCTTTAAAAAACTGAAACATAGCAGTTCAATCTATTGTGCAGTTGATATAAAATATAGCAAAACCTATTGAGTTGAATATGTGCCTAACAACCCAGGAATACAGTGATCTTTGGCAAAAATAATGTAGAAAAATAATGAAACAGAGATTGGAAAATTATAGCTATCAAAGTTTATTACAGTTTTGATAGTAGTGAATGGCTCAGAGGAGCAGAATGGTTAAAATTGCAGTGGTTTTAAGAAAAAGATGAGAAAATGCAAAGGGAATAGATAGCTTATTCTGGAATATCCCCTGCCTAAATCAAAGGAAGTGTCATTCTGGTCATCCTTAGATATCCGTGCAGAATATAGTTTACCATTTGGGAACATAGTCTTGGTCACAAATTTAAGATAGAATAGTCACTTCAGTTTACTAAAGCTTGAAGTAAGAAGTTACTCAGAACTATTCTGAGTCAATGATACAAAGTCCAAAATGGCAAGCTGTTGTTATGGATTTTATTGCCAAACATTGATAACAAAACTGAATTTTTAATAAGTAAAGATAAAAAACCTTAGAATGCCAATTAAACTGAGATAATAATACAAAGACAAGATAGAGGAAGAAGATAAGTAAGTGAAACTGCCAAAGTATGTAGAGTATATGGTTAAGTTTGTCTAAAATGTTCCTGAAAAATTTCAGCACAATACCCTGGTATCTCAAATTTAAGAGTGAGTGAGTGAGCGAGTGAGCGAGCCAGCCAGCCAGCCAGCAAGTAAGCAAATAAGCAAGCAAGCAAGCAAGCTAGCTAGCTAGTTGCTGGATTTAATCTGCAATACTTAGCAACATAAACAACTGAGCTTCATAACTTTCTAGGATTCTGAGAAAAGGTCAACAACCTCAATACTGTGGTTGAATACACTTACTCCTTGTTTAGAGGCCAAGTTCTGATAAACAACCAGGTTGTTAAGCAAAATGGTTGCTAAGTAACATATGGGGGAGAGGTAGAGAGACTGGGGAGATCATTGGTTGGTGCCATTTCATTTAAGTAAAGCTTTTTCATGCAGCTATGCCAGCATTACTCCCACTTCGGCATGCATTTTTGTTGGATGCCTAAAATATGGTCATATATGCACACATTGGTTGAAAAATATTTTTTAACTACTAACATATTTGTGAATGGTCACTAACTAAAATTGTCACTAAAGAGGAATGGGTGTATTCATAGCTTTGGAGTTCACAATATAGCTGAGAAGTGAACCCATTGTATGACTTTTACTACAGAATGGAAGCTGATTATAAAGCTTCCATGGAAGAGATCTATTAAGGCTCCATAGAGAAATACTAGAAGCAGAACTGATCTTTTTTCATAGAAAGAAGGAGAAGTGGTTAAACAAGGTGAAAGACAAACCTTTTGCTCTAGAAATGTGAGCTAGGAAAGGAACAGGATTGGATGGGACATGAGAAACAGACTCAGAATCAAGCAGACCTAAGACAATGATTGAAGATGTTTCACACAGGGTTTATTTAGGTAGACAAATCAATAATAAAAGTTTGAATTCACTGTGGCAGTAACAGATGTTAACCCAAGAGATGACAAAAGAGCTTGTTTTTAGGAAAATCCAAAGGGTGCTAGACAAAACCACTTAATTCATTGGATCTTCCTTCTAACTCAGGGATCCCCAACCTCCAGTCTGTAGATCGGTACTGGGTTGCGGCATGCCAGCAACTGGGCCGCACAAACAAAGCCCCATCCACGGGATGCAGGCAGTACACAAAACCATGCCCCCTCTGGTCCACGGAAAAACCTCTCTCCACGTAACCGGTCCCTGGTGCCCAAAAGATTGGGAACCTCTGTTCTAACTGATTATTAAAAAATCTAAAGAGAGTGAATTAGACAAAATACATTGAATTGATTCAGAGCAGCAGATTGTCCTACCATTTACTTAATTTTCTATGTTCCTTTTGCCAATGAATTGTTACAGTTGTATATAACAAAACATATTACTACATTAATTCACCTTCATCTCTCCGTGCAAGCTAAAAGTCAAATTCATTATCACAAACAATAACAAATAAATTAAGATAGATCTGATTTCATAAAATAGGATAAAGCTGACCTAAAACCTATCTAGCTAAACAGCTTAAGCCAACCAAATATTGTCAAGGTGAGTCACCTTGCAGGGAACGTGGGCAGTATAAAAAATTAATACCTAAATTAAAAAACTTGATAAATAAAAAGTGCCTGTTCTTCAGTCAATTTTAATTAAAAGGTTAGTATTGATATGGAAACATTATTAATAAAACAGATTAATTTGCATTTGTATTAAATATGTGAGAGTCAGTAACTATCTTCCAAAGAATTTAATCAGTTTTCTTGTAATACAGAATTTAATTTTTCACACGCAAAAGATATAAGCATCTGAAGACATTGCCTGAAGATAGGAAGTTAAATGAGCATATATGCATTAGCTGCTGAATTGCATGATACTGAAATACTCATAATATCCATACCTGATAATTCTGCCCTTTAAAGGAGTAATGAAATCCTGGAGCACCTGGAGGGCCCTAGAATGAGGGGAGAATAATCAAGAATATAATTTGTCAGGCTTTAAGTTTTTTTTTTCTTAGAAATATATATTCTATGAATCTGTTAGTTGATACCTTTAAGAGAAACACATATCATTTTATTATTGGTTATGTTTCATGGAAAAACATATGTATGTATTTATATATTTGCTACATTTATTAACCAACCCAACCATACAACTCTGATTGACACACCACAAATTAAGAATAAAGGGGGGGAAACTCTCCAATTAACACTGCCTCCTTCAAAACAGGAAAGGAAACCACATATGTTTGTACAAATATATAAATACCGTATTTTCCGGTGTATAAGACGACTTTCTAAACCATGCAAATCTTCTCCGAAGTTGGGGGTCGTCTTATATGCCAGAAAATACGGTACCTAAATGGAGACATCATTATTTTTAAACAATGAGTAGAGCGAAAGTTTTGATGAAACAAGAAAAGAATTAACAATGTTTTGAAATATGTCAAGAAAAGATGACATTCTTTTTCTCCCCACCATGGAGAAAGCCTACTAACTTGTCTATATATCATCTTTATTTTTTATTTCAATTTCTTTTTGAAATGCAAACCATTAAGTCCAAAATTAAGTACAGTATTGTACAATTAGGAAGACGTTATGTAATATCTTTGACTTCAGGGCAAGGATTGGGCTCTATTTTTGGTGAGAGCTCCACTATATTTCCTGCATTAAAGGTTGCATAGCACATTTAGAACATCTTGAGTTGGAAATACAGTTTCAACTCTAATTCACATGAATAAAATATAAATATTTTTTCTGGTAGGAAGGCATAATTAGGGGTATTACTAGATTTATTAACAATCTACTTTTTTACTTAATTTGTAAAGGAAATGTGAATTGTTAGAACTGAAAATCACAATTAAATACAAATACATCAACAGCATAAAGAACATTAGAATTGCTATCAATCTCAGAATAATTAGTTGATTTCAAATCTACAAGTTTTAAATCAACAATTGAGAAACACTAATCATGTACTATTAGTTATTTTCAAGGACTCTGGAATAAGGGGTTAGAATCTATCACATCAATTAATCAATGGCTAAAAAATTTAAAGAATGTTTCTTATGCATTTAAATTAAAACAAATTCAACAAAATATTTTTGTTTACATTAACTGGATATCCCAACGAATATTTTTAAAAAGCTGGCTATAAATGTTATTAAGTTTATTCTTAATCAAATCTACAATATAGATTTAGTGTCCTGTTGCCCTATTTTAATTAGTTAATATGTTTTTAGAAAGATCACTGTGGTTTAAAGACGTGAAAGTGCATTTGAATTATATATTGAAAACTCAACACTTATCATTGCGATTTATGGTTTCTCAAACAGGAAGGCACCAAAAAAGAGATAATTCTTCAATATTGGAAAGACAGGTATAAACCTAGATTTACAGTCTTGGATTATTGATAAATGTTTGCTTTTTCATTTATAAGTCATATATGTCTACTAATGTAATGAAAAGATTGATCAATATTGTTTTGTGTGGTTAAGATTTAAATGATCTACATATAAGATACTTGAATTATTTCTTATAAGCACATTATTTATCTTCATTCTTTTTGCTGGTTTTCTTTTAGTGTTTTTCTTTTTTTCTTCTTTTTGTACATTAAGATAATGGCATCTAAAAAGAGCTAAATAATTACTCAGATATATGTATTTTGAATTAGTACCTCTGACTACATTAAAAATTACTACACATTATTGATTTATTATAACTTCTGAAAGTGTTTTAGCACTGCTGGAATAAATGATTTTTGTGCCTGTCTAAGAATAATCAGATCTATATGATGTACATGTCTATAAAAAAAAATCAGATCTATATTTCTAGAGGTAGAAGACACCAGGAAACACTTTCTTGTATACAGCAACAAAATACAAGTAGTATTAATAGCTCTCAAAATTTATGTCAGAATCAATAGACAAAACATTTATTAAAAATTTAAACTTTCAACATGCAGATTATTATTTTGGGACAAAAGAAGACAAACGTCTATTAAGTTGAACTATATTTTCAAATTTGTCGATGCAAAACATTTATATATAGTAGCACAACTTAGTGCTCCACACTCTCAAAGTAGATTGGTCCTTCTATTCTAAACTATTTTGACTAACAGTAACCCAAAAGGATGAGTTAAAGCTTGGTCATTATGTATTGCATGGATGCTCTGTTATTCAAGAATGGTCTTCACCTTCAAGAGCTAATATGGCTAATACAGCTCATAAAATGTACTTAATGACACTAATTGGGACCTTAAATTCCATTAAGTGACAGTTTTAAGTTGAAAAAAACCATGTGGTAATGCCATTCAGTGATAGCAGTTGTGGCAGTCCTAGTTGCTGTCATTAAGTGAGGACCAGGCAGGGATTGTTAAGCAAAGACCTCACGTGGCTGTGACTTGCAACTTCCTGCCAGCTTTCTCATTGACTTTGCTTGTTGGAAGCTCACTAGGAAGATCACAAATGGCAATCATAGGGCCTGAGGGACTCTGCCTACCAGCCGTAAGTATGAGGACTGGTTGAAACTATCACTCATTATACAGTTAAGTGTATTATAATAATAACGCTTTCTTTGATTGGAACTCAATTTTTAATTACTTCAATTTTATTTCAATGTCCAGATTAACTCTTGAGCTATTAATACCTTTGAAACCATATTAATTTCTGGGGACTTCATGGAGATGCCCATACAGCTATCCTAGCAACAATATAGAAAAGATTTGCAATTTTTTTCTTCTTCCAGATTTTTTTTGACTTCCCAGTCCAATATATAACTCTGATACTTTCTAATGAACTCTATTCGATGGCTGTAATTTCTGGTCTAGTAAAAAAAGAATCAGGCATTTTTTGTATTGTGATATTATGCAGTAGGCTATAGTGATCCCAGCCTTACTCAACATTTTGAAATCAGCCACCTAGTTTGATCTATATAGTATATTTTAATATATATTTATGTCCAATTAATCAGAATTGGAGGCGCTGACCCAGAATTCTACATAGCAGCTTTCCTAACAAATATATCTATGTATAACAGATTGTGTTCTAGTGAGCGATTATATGAATAACACCAGCATGTCATATTCTTATATTTTTATGGAATGGGGATGATAAAGTTGTTAATTCAAAATTAGTTAAAAACAGGGACTATTTAAAATTATTTAAAAACATCAAGTTTTTTTATCAGCTAGCTAATCATGATATATATATATATATATATATATATATATATATATATATATATATATATATATATATCAGATAGCTGTCATGATATACTTTGCTACAAATTGCAGATCTCAAAATCAAAAGATTTTTCATTGCTATAACATTTGAATATTAGGTATGTCTGAAAAATAAATTTGGAATGAAGCCAAATTTGGTTGAGTATGTACTGCAGAGGCTTTAGAATGAAAATGCCAGAGGTATTGCAAATGTCTTGAATATACTTTTAAGCCTTAATCTTTTTGCTTCTTGTTTAGCACTACAGCCATGTACCGGTATATTGTATCAATACATAGAAAAACATAGTTACATTATAAAGTGCTTTTCAGAACATTTTCTAAATCATTATTTTAAAAAGAGATACCAAACCAAATTAGAACTGTGTCTCTTTTATTGAGAATGCATGTACAGTAAAAAAAATCCCCCATGATAAAAACTTGGCAAATTTGTTATAATAATTAATTGTTCTTTCTTATTTGTGAGATGGCTGACGAAGCTCTAAGATAGCTTGATGGTCTGTTAATGAAGATTTTCCAGTACTACATAGGAGTACAAAGGAGAAAAAATCACTAGAGGGAGCTGCTGTTCCATTCAAAATGAGCTTCTTGAATAGTTTTTCATCTTAAATGACCCACAACACTGAATAGAAGAGATTTACAGCAATATAATAAAGGGAATACCTCTAAAACAATATAAGTGACACTAAAATAGAATCCCCAAATGTTGCACTAGAAAGAAAATCACAATTTATGTTCATAATTATTCATTCTTACAGGCATTTGAAGAAAAGCATAAAAGTAAATGGGGGAAGTACTGTTGTTTCGAACAGAAACAATTGTAATGTTTATTCCTTCTCTGGGACCTAAACTTAGTCCAGTGAGAATTAGAGAACTCTTACAGAATGGTGGGTTAAGCAAAGTCACCAGGTCTGTTTACTAAATTATCAGCTTGCTCTCAGTTTGTTAAGAGGGCAAACCAATGAAATGGTTATAAAAACAATTCAGCATTTCCCACAACCAATGAAATGGTTATAAAAACAATTCAGCATTTGTCAGAGCCACAGTTCTGGGCTCTGAGTTTCAACAAGAGTAGAATAAGAGTAAATAATGCTCTGGCTTTACTAGAAAACATGTCAGACAAACTTAAACATCAGGCAGCTTTCTGATGCTGTGAAATTGATGTTTGTTCTGCTATCTATTGTTCTATATAATTACTTCTGAAACCATGATTTTATTTAGTGCTTGATGAAAATTTCCCATCCTAGTTGGATAATTATGAGGAATAATAATTACTCCCATAGCCCTAGGTACATTAACCTGTACGGATCTCATTAAAGTGTATTTTTTACCTCCCTTGTAACAACTTACCACCCACTGCTAGCAGACCTATTCACTGAAGCCTCTGATGGCAGATGGATCTTCTCACTCTGTCAGGACCCAGAAAAGTCAGTTTTTGAAGTGGGAGACAAGCATAATGGCAGCTGGGGCAGAGAAACCTTATATGAGATGTATTTGTTCATCATTCTTAAAGCTATACCTATCATACTATCTCTTCCATCAAATCATATATTTATTTATTTAAAACGTCTATACTACATGTAATTACTAACCAGGCTGATAGTGCTCAGCTTTTTCAAGATCACATCAGATGGGCTAGGTGTTAGCAACTCTTATTTTACATTGTTCCATCCTGCCTGTGAAATGCTTTCTTGCTATGGTATAAATGAATACTGCATATTGGTTATACAAACATTGGGTAGGGCAAACATCAGCATCTTCTTATACTCTTTCCTTGTATTTTAATAAAGCCACATATCAGGATGGAGTAGCTCTATTCTTGGAGTGAACAAACTGTCTCCTTTTCTGATTTAACATAAAATGCTACTATAGTCACAATCCAATGTTTTAAAAAAAGAATCAGAAGAAAAGGCAGCATCCATTGTATGGCTTGGTACTTAGCTCTGTAGAACCTATTCATGACATTCTCAGCCTAAAACCCATTTAATGCCAAATACAAGTGCCATATTTACAATGTTCTTAACACACAAAGTAGTCCAGTTACTTCATATATTACAGTTGTAAAAATTACAGTACAATAAGATAGGCTGCTTAAGACAATGCTAGTTCAAGTTCAAAACATTTCAGAAACTCTAAGAGGGATATCTTGCATAAGAAACCTCAGTAGAAGACTATTTTTGTATTTATAACTTGGATGTTTATAGATTTAATATTTTCATAATTAAAAAAATACATTGGGGTCTATTGGACACTTCTGTGATGTTAGAATAGGTGACACCTGGCTCAATTGTAGTAATTGTGAGAGGGATCTTGGAATCCTAGTGAACCATCACTTAAATATGAACCAGCAGTATGCTGCAGCTTCCAAAAAAAGCCAACACAATCCTAGGCTGCATTAACAGAGGTATAGAATCAAGGTCATGTGAAGTGTTAATTATAATGCCTTGGTAAGACCACATTTAGAATATTGCGTCCAGTTTTGGTCACCAAGGTATAAAAAAGATGTTGAGACTCTAGTGCAGAAAAGAGTGCAGAAAAGAGTAACAAAGATGATTAGGGGACTGGAGGCTAAAACATATAAATAATGATTGCAGGAATTGGGTATGTCTAGTTTAATGAAAAGAAGGACTAGGAGTGACATTATAGCATTGTTCCAATATATGAGAGGCTCACAGAGAAGAAGAAGTCAATCTGTTCTCCAAAGCACCTGAAGGCAGGACAAGAAGCAATAAATGGAACTAGTCAAGGAGAGAAGCAACCTAGAACTAGGGCGAAATTTCTGGACAGTTAGAACAATTAATCAGTGGAATGACTTGTCTCCCGAAATTGTGGGTACTCCAACAGTGGAAGTTTTTAAGAAGAGATTGGACAAACCATTTGAACGGTTTCCTGCTGAGCAGGAGATTGGACTAGAACAGGGTCCCCAACCACAGGCCGCAAACTGGCACTACCTCACAGCCTGCCAGGAATCAGGCTGCACAAGTGACTGAAGCCCCATCCATGCACGTGCAGGATCCAGACAGTATGTAAAACCAGTCTCTTCCACCCAGTCTGCAGAAAACCCTCCTTCTATGGAATCAGTCCCTGGCATCCAAAAGGGGTTGGAGGGTTGATGGGCTAGAAAACCTCCAAAGTCCCTTCCAACTCTGTTATTCCATTGTTCTGTTTTAAGAAGAAATGAGTAGGCTCAGTTAATTTCCTGAAGGTGCTGCATTCATAATCCAGCATTGATTCAAATGGTGTAAGAAATCTGTTTTGATCAGAAGCATCATTTAGTTGACCATTTTAGAAATCTGAACTGCAAGTACTCTACCTGCTTATTACTATGTAGGAGATACACACTATCGTGAAGTATTTTTTCCTAAAACCAATAACAATGATGTTCAGAACATTCCTCTATCACAATTTCATTTTATTAATGAATAATATGCCCCAATCTGATAGGGATTCTTCATTCTGAAGGTTTTTCATTTTCAGTATAACTATGTCAAACAGAACTGTTACATTCTTGTTTTTACCTTTAATAAATAGAGACATCATTTGGTTCCTTTCCAGACACGTTGTTAATATTGCTAAAGTTACTCCTGTGTAGAATATGTCTGTGAACTTTCAGTGATTACAGAATAAACAATTAAGTAGCACACCAAGAAAAATGGAGGTAGCCCAATGCCAGGACTGAAGGAATCTCCTTAGATTCAGCTATATATCCAAGCATAGATTCCAATCCATGGGCCTCTGACAAAAAACTCCAAGTGCGTCTAGTACAATCCCAACATACTTGTTATTAGAATGAAAGCATAGTACAATTCCTTTTATACAGTTCACATAGGTCTTAATTTTCTCTTAATTTTTTAGCAATCTCATTTAATCTACAGCTGAATATTTTTTCCAGCATTCTGCCATTCAAACGATCTGCATCTTTGAAACTACCTTTCTTAGTCATACGTTTCCCATTTGAAATACACGGCATCCTTGCTTTGGATAAAGTAAAATAGTTAAATATCTCGGACAAATACATAGTCTGAAATGCTCATCAATCTTTTCCATTTCCACCAGTTCCAGAAGTTGTTATCCTATTTTTCTTATCAGACCCATAACCCACACCTCTCTATATGCCTGAGTCATTTTTTTAAATCTTTGTTTTTCTGCAGAGAAAGCAAAAGAATTGCTCACACAACGTTCCTAGAGTATCTGGTAGGGATAGTGAACTAAGCTGAGTTTGATGCTATCCTTTTGGCTACTCACAGGTGGTCCTGGTGGTCCTGCTGTTCCAGGGAGTCCTGGTTTGCCTCTTCGTCCCTGGATAAACAAAGAATATAAGAGCAAGAGTTATTGGGACAAAGAATCATTTATTTGTTTAAAGAACACGTTTTTGAAAAACATCAAGTCTTTATGGAAGGAAATTTTCCAGAACAAACATTAGTTGTAATCACTTTAAGAATTTTTTTCTCCAAAACAAAAAAGGTTTGCTTCATGAAAAATTTTAATTAGCACTTGTTTTGTAAATTATAGCTCATGGATAAAAGCATTTTCATGTGACATCTATCAAAATAAGCAAACTCAAATGAATTACCATAAAGGAACTGACAGGATTGGCAGTGGAAGAATTACAGTACGCTTGCCATCCTAAATCTTAAAAATAGGCCATGCATTACAGATTTACAGATATCCTGCCTTCATTTTCTAGGCAGATTTTCACTTCTGCAGTATCTGAACTGAATTATGCACTTTTTACTTATTGATCTCCATTATTCAAATCATCTGTCACTGTCAGAGATTCCCTGTTAACTAATCTGGACTTCATAAATTGAGTAGTTCTATGGGTCCAAGATCAAGAAACAGTGGATGACAATGTTTCCGAAGCCATGTGTCTCCTGGCGTTTTTCATGTGTTTCACATACAGCATCCACATTTAGGTCAATGTGCTTTTTGTTAACCTAACTTTAGTTATAGCCTTTGATGATTTTGGTTTGATGGCTTCCACATGTGTATTTGTATTTTAGGAGGAAAAATATGTGAACTATGTAAATATTTTTCATCCAGATGTTCATTACATCCTGTAACTCTGAACATACAGAATACAACTTGTTATAAACTTGTATTATCAATATTAATGTAGTCCTTTGAGGTATTCAAGGTCACAACACATATTTATAAAAAGTGACTGGCAGAAAAGTATTTACTGGGGTTTTCTTTTACATTACTTTAATATTTCTCTATAATTTAAAAAGCTTCAGGTGACACAGTGTACATGCAATATTGAATTCAGGTGAGTCTTTCAGAGAAAAATGTTTTACTACATCACTAAAGTGAAGAGATATGCTCTTGTAGGCAGTAGAGGTCCACAGATACAGAGAAAGATAACCTTTATTACCATCACAATTAAAGAGAATAGAAAGATCTTCCAGGCAATGAAATCTATGCATGATCAGAGCTTCTAAATCAGTTGTCTTCTTATACGAATCCTGGTTTCCCATCAAAGTTATTAACTAAATGTGCCATTTGAAATGCAGAATGAAATGTGAGAAGATCAGTTGAAGGAAAAGCTGAAGCCTCAGCACTTAGCCCCAGGGCCCTGGGGAAAAAAACACCTCCCAAGCCTCCAACAGGCAATCTGAAACAGTGCTGATCCCAGCGCTGTTGAGATTACTGTGGAAGTCAAGAAAAGAGGTAGAATCTACCAATGGGATAAACTCTATACCTGCAGCTAATTTGGGAGCCAAGCTTGTCACATCCTTTAGGGCTGGAGACCAAGTCAAGACTGGGTGTGTCCTAGCCCAGGATGGGGAGTGGCAAGTTTGGCTTACTTGGTCTGAAGGGCAGGAAGACAGAGCTAACCCATTGGTGGATTCTCCATCTCCTGTGCTGGAGAATATGAGATTTGCATTCAAAGCAATTTGGATTTGTTACAAATTTAGATACTGCTGAAAAATTCTGTTGATTACCTTTCCAGTTTCTGACTGTTTTAACATTTTAAGTAAGTACAAACTAAAGGAATATTAAGTACTGTATATAGTAGGATTTGAATTGGCATGGACAAATGTGATTCAGGTGCAGAACGCAGAACTGAATTCTCTGTAGCTTATTTTTTCAAAAAGGTTTGCAAATGTAACTTAGGAAGCATAACATTTTTTTCAGATTGTTTCTGTACTGATTGCTGTCAGTGCCATTGTCCATTATAGATCCATTGTGGACTTCAGTTCCCAGAATTCCGAGAGTTGAAGTTCACAAGACTCAAAGTTGCCAAATTTGGAGACCCCTGATTGATATCAGTACAGGCTGTTAATAACATTTATCCAACCTTTTATAACTCATAGAAAAGGCATTGTAAAAAAAAAAAGTCAATCCATTAGTAGTTGATCACACATAGTACATTCACTAGACTATCTGTGAGAACTATCATCAAAAGAATTTGGTATGCATGTCTTGTTCCTTATTAAATAATAAATGATTGGAAAAATACAAAACTAAATATAAGGTTTCTCACATGCCTTGTTCTCTGCAGTAACCCGTATATCAAAACAGTGAGCAAACCCACCCTGGCATTATGTTCAGATCACCTGAGTAGAATGCTTACTTTTCCATTCTTATAAGATTCTGTGCTATAGGAAAAAATTGATCCACTGAGCTCTATTAATAACAAGAAATGTGAAGGTATTTCTGATTTAGCAAGTGCTAGTAGTCCAAGATATTCTCGTGAAGTGATTACCTCTCTTTCTACTTACAGATTATCTGTAACGAGGAAAACAGTGATGAAAAATAAGGAGGGTTGGAAGCTGAAGGTTACTCGGTAATAGTCAGTAAACAAAGCAGGTTGATTGAATAATGATAGGATTATCTAGAAATTCTCCAGGTGAAAAAGGTGTGGATGGGAAGGCAAAGGCACCAGATCATCAGAAAACCTCATGCTAGGATGAATATTTTTCCTTTGCTATTATGCTATGTTGATGTTTGGAAAGTGGACTGAAACCCTAGTTAATTAGGATAATGAATCATAGAGTCCACAGTAGTTGGGGGGCAAATAATAAAATAAAATAAAAATGTTATTATTGTTGTTCAGTCACTAGGTTATGTCCAACTCTTTGCAATCCCATGGAGCACAGCACACCAGGCCCCTCTGTCCTCCAATATCTTCCAGAGTTTGCCCAAATTCATATTCATTACATCAATGACACTATCTAGACATCTCATCCTCTGCTCTCCCCTTCCCCTTTTGTCTTCAATCTTTCCCAACATCAGGATCTTTTCCAATGAGTTCTCTTTTCTCATTAGGTGGCCAAAGTATTTGAACTTCAGCTTCATTATCTGTCCTTTCAAAGAACAGACAGGTTTGATTTCCTTTCAGATAGACTGATTTGATTTCCTTGCACTCCAAGGGACTCTCAAGAGTCCAACACCACAACACCACAATTCGAAAGCAAAAAGTGATATTAACATTTTTCAATATCTACCGTCACATTCAATGTTTGCATCGAGATGGTATGTGTGCCTTCCTGAATTCAATTTCTTTTCCATTTGTTTCTGCTGTTTTTCAATAGTGAAATGTTTACATACTGGCAATCTGAAGCTCCAAGTGATTTCAGTATGTGCAATTTCTATATTGAAGATACTCTGTTCTGATTTTTTAGGGTTCTTGTCCCTCTAGAGATGTGTAGTTGATGGCTTTTAACCCATGAAAGTCAAGCCAAAGCTTCTCTTTAAAACCATCAAGTTTGTGAGATGTGTCTAGACTGGCTCTTTGAGAAGGAGGAGCAGGAGATGCTAAAGGGGGTCAAAACTTTTCCTTTCAAAATTGAGAATGGTCTTGGGAGAGCTGTGCTTTATTCACAGAGCCTTGGGACCATGAGGGCCACTCTGGTTTTTTTTGTTTTTGTTTGTTTGTTTGTTTTTGCCTTCACCATGAAGCCTGCCAGCTCTAATGTTCCAGGTCTCCCCGGGAGCTTGGGAAAAGGGGCATTTTGAGATGTCACTGCTGAGCAGCTGCCTTTAGCATTTTTCTTCGTCTTTGTAAAGGGCCAGACTGGGTGGCCTTGTGGGAGGCAGAAAATGGCAAACATCAGCAGGTGTGGTAGAGACCAGGGCAGCAAGGGCAACTAAGATGGAGGTTGCCAGACATTCGTGTGTGTGTGGGTGGGTTCTTTGTGTCGTGGCAGACTCTTGAAACTTGGAACTTTCTGTGGGGCAGCTTCTTTGTACTCTGCTGTAGAGGCTTCCCAGTATTCCGCCCTTTGTGAGAATCGGTGCTTTGTGCTGTACTATTGGAACGTCTACAGCATTTAAGGGCATAGATGGGGAGGTGGCATAAGCAGGTGAGGACCAGTCATAAGTGCAGGTGGGGCTGCTAAGCTCCCAAACTTTGATGACATGACTGCAAAGGGGCTGCGATGACCATAACTTCAGACACAATTTAAAGGTCCCTTGGTACAGTACCATGGTAATTTACATTGTTCGCTAAACATACCTTCCCAGATGTGACTGGCTTATCATAGCTATCATTGCACCACAAATATATACTCCAAGCAGTCTACTAAACATTGTAGCCATGGTCATCACTGAAGTAATAATAATACTTAACACTAGTAGAGGGAGTAATATTCACCAGCAATGGCTTTAAAGGCTGATAAGGTTACAAGAAAACCCCTGCTTTCAAAAAAACAACCAAAACATTATTGGAATCTAGGAGGAGGGGTGATAAATATATGTGAGGCTTCAGCAAAAAAAAAAAAAAAACCAAAAAAACCCACAAAAAACCAGAGGCCTGTCTCGTGCATGTGGTAGCGCTTTCTGTTAAGGCAAAACAATCATTGGATTCATTTAATAATAACTGATTCTTGGAGTTTTTGGGAGGATTTGTTTTATGAAGAGAGTCCTTTTCATTAGGGTTTCCTATTAAATGGATCCAGAAAAGCTCCTCATTTTTCAGCGGTACATGTACTAATAGTTGTAAAATTTTTAATAATCTCTGCTTGATTTCATCTGGGGTATTGCAAGCTTCATTTCAGCTGTGTCTAAATGAATCTGAATGGAGGTAATGCAATTTGAAAGTCCACTGCGATGAAAGTTTCGCATGCTTGGAGTTCAGATAAAAGAAATGGTCTTTCATGTGGTTTCCACTAAAACTGCAATTGTTCCATTACTTCTCTAAATCGGTTTTCATGTTCATTTTACTTACAGTAATTTTAAAAGGGGAGAGGGGGGAATTCATGGAAATGGCCAAGGAAAATGAAGAATGCTTCAGATAACATCCTGGCTCCACACTGAAATCCTTGAAAGGTAATTAGACTTGAAACTACTAACATATGTATTAAATAATGCACATGCAACAATAGAAAGGAGGATATAAGCTATTTGAAAGTATCTTCTCAAAATGTATTATTACTCCACGTTGCCTCACTTCTGTGCACCAATTTGCTATTGTTCTCCTATACAAGGCCCTCTGGAAAGGAGAAAAATTATGTAGAATTAAATTCTAGCTTCCTGGTATATTCCACATTCTTAGTGCAAGGAGTGTTAATCTGGCTAGGGATGTAAGAACACTGTAGTTATAAAACTGGTTTAATTATACATGACCAAGGATAAGACATCTAAGTAATGCCAAGGCCTAGCATAAGACTGTGGGGAAATTGGAAAGCCATTTGGCTGGGATTTTATTCTTAAGTATGATAATATATTTTACTTAAAAATACCCAAGTTACATCTTTACTTTCATATGTCATAATATTTAAATTTTTTATTATGGCTAGGGGCCTCCAAAGTCTGGATCATTCTACCTTTTCAAATGTAATATTTAAACATATGCCCATTCTTTAAGTAAAAAGCAAATACTAAAACTGTAAATAGCAAAACAGTATTATTTCTTCTTCCCTTCAGGAGTTTTAATCAGAAGTTGAAGGATTATTTGAACAGAATCGAACCTCCTTAGAATCTGGTACAGAATGAAAGAGGAGTACTTTCTTTAATACTATTTTTTTTCCTCTTCCAAATAATGGTAATAATAGTGAAACTGACCAGTAATTTCAATTCCCGGGGAAATATTGCTGCTAAATTTCATATATGCCAAATAGTAAGAATAGCAAGCTGAATACTTTTTCTAATCAAATCAAAGACTGAGCATTTAAATGCCTCCTAAGAAAAGGTTCCTTATTTGAAGCTTCTTGCTAAACTTTAACACATTGATAGGAAGAACATTCCAGAAAATAATGTTTGTCTGACTATTTTTCCTGTTGGCACTGCATTGACCTTTAAATTTGCTTTCATTTCAAAAGGAAAGCTTCTCTTTAGCTAGAAACACCAAATTATATAAACTTTAAACAATGCTTCAGGTGTTTCACATGACAATTATAATATATTTAACAGGCCAGATCCAAACATATTTATGTTTCATTTACCGGCAATTATTGCACACGTTTGCAATATTTAGTCACTTTAGCATTCCATAGTTTGCATAGCTACTTGTAGATTTATGTTTACGAAAATGCTGAAAAAAGTCAAGGGGTTGTGCATGGTTTGAAGAAATGCTTTGGGTCCTGGGTAAGTCAGAAGAAAAAGATGCTATTGCTTTAAAAGTTGTATTAATCTTAATAAGTGGATTCATTAAAACATCGTCCTTTTGCTCAGGCCTGCCCAGAAGCCTCAACCATGTTGAGTCACTTTAATTCTGCACTGTAACTGCAGAGTGCTGTTGTATGTGATGTGTTTTTTTTTCTGATAAACCTGTTTTGAATCACAGGCAGCATGATCAATTAGTATTTGCCAATTGCTATCATATTTACTCACCCGCTGACCTTCTTTTCCAGGTGGGCCTTGGGGGCCTTCTATTTCTGGCACACTCTGTAAATATAGACAGTTTTCAAATGTTACTTCCCTCATTAATATAGCTTAAAGTAGCTACTACTATGCTTAAAATAGTTAAGCAAACCTTCATAGTTAAAGTTTAATTTCAAGCAGTTTTCATACAGATTCTTATGGCTGTGGCTAGCAGGTGCTGCTAGCAGACGCTAAAGAGCATAGAAAGATCACATTTTAATTTGAAAGGTGATTTCGACTGAAGATTTGAACAGTTCTTGCTTGATATTTCTTAAAATAAATGCTACATGTTAAGTTTTGAACTGGATAGGTTTGATGAAAGAATGTGTGCCTGTTTTATGAATAAATGGTAGCCTCAATATCTGAGGGTTATTTTTTATATTAATTTTTGCACATACGGTAGACATTTCTACATGCTCTCCACTATGCTGAATGGTGAGAGGGCAGTCTTGACTATCCTGATGCCTCAGCATGATTGCAACTTTCACTATCTTCAGTCAGCATGACCATTGATCCAGAAACTAGGATGAAATACACAAAAGCAGAGCACGCATAAAGATGATAAAGAAATTGTCTGGATAGCCAGATACCTTTGTACTTGGGAAAGCATTTGAAAAGATTTCAAAAAGACATTTCAATCCCAAAAAGGATCTGCAATCACAGAAAAATAAGTAATGGGAAGGAATGCTACAGCAAACCAAATTCAAGTTCAGATATATTATTGCAGACCTGAGGCCAGATACAAACAAGATATTGAATAAAATAAGTATTCACATACACACACACATATATGTATATGTGTGTAAGCAACATATGTGTGTAAGAGAAAGTAAGTATAATAATGGAATCTAAAAATAATATAACTAGTAAAATAAATCAAATCAAATACTATTTTAAGAAGTTCCAATCCTAAGCAATGGTACAGCATATTGTAGAAATGGTAGCAGAGAACTGAGCAATGTAGGAGATTATTTTCGGGACATTGTCTCAAGTAGTAGCATTAATCCCCTCCTAGAAATTTCTTCAAGACAGGAAATATAAACAGAAGACTGTTTATATTTCCTGTCTATATATCTGTATACCCTATATATCTGTAGGGTAGGGTAAATTCCCCCAAAATTTCTGAGATTTAAAAAAAGCTTATGACAAGTCTATACAATAAGAAAATGCAGAAGAGATATTAAATCAAAAACTGTAATTATAGAAAAAACTGGAATTCAAGGCTTCTACTGACAAGGACACAAGAGCTATAGAAACCTATACTCTCAATAAGTGGAGAAAAAGCATCTTTGTGTCCCTATCTGCATGTGTAGAAGTGTGTGTGTGTGTGTGTTTGTGTATAAGTTAGACATGGTCTTTGTGAAGTGGTTCACATAAAGTTTGGCTTCAATCATTTTCAGTTTTCACCTCACAATGTTCATCAGAGAATATGATCTTTGGGATGAAGAGGTACCTTGGTCTCACAGTGCTACATGTTGTCCTGTGTAATCTCAAACCAGTCACTTGAGAAAGCTCTAGCTGGTTTTAATTAAATTATATTGCTTTGGCTGTTATCAGAGGACCTTGAGGGATGATTCTAGGACTTTCCCTAATCCATGAGGGTCAAATAAATGACAGGAAGCCTGTTCCTTCTGTTGTTAAGTTGAAAAAAATGACAGTTCAGAGAAAGAAAATTCTCTGGGCGTGTCAAGCTGCTGGCTGCATGGCTTCAGGTTCATGGCTTCAGGTTCATGACTTTATTTGACTTTGTTTTCAAATTTTAGAACAATACATAAGATGCATGGCCCAATTTTTCCTCTCTTAAATCAGCCTGGTAACCTGTGTGACATATATTTATGAAGCCAACAAAAACATGACAAGGGAATCTTTTTATTCGTAACTACAGAGCTATTTTCTGTCTTATTTACAGATACATAATTAAATCATTTTTTTAAAAAAAATATATTTCTCTACAGCCAAGTAAGTTGCATATTTTAAAGTAAAAAAACTGAAGTCAACTTCAGTTAATTTATTATTCATACCAAACAAGGCCAGTTCCTTTATCCCTGGAACAACATTTCTCTTTTATTGAAAAGAGAAGTGTGAATTAGTTCCTAAAAAAGCAGATTCTGGTGGAGATATTAGAATGGAGCATTTAAATAAAATGCATAGATCATACATGATAACTTTCTTACATTAGCATATCTCAAATTCTCCACAGCTTGACCAACATGACCTCTTACTTTCAGCTTGACTTGATTTCAAATGGTACTCATACATTCAGTAGTGAAAGTGATAGAAAAATGAGATGAGCTTAAAAGATGTTACAAAAATTAAACTGCCAGATGATTGGTCTTAGCTATATGGTATAGCTGGATTCAATTAATATTGTAAGTATTTTAATAAAGATTAATTACTTCATAGAGTTCCTTCTCTCAATTTTATATTTTTCCCCTCTCTGGCTTATATGCTCAAGAATATTCTTCATACTTAGTTCATTAATCATAAACCAGATACATTACAGTAATATGTAATATGAAACCACAGAATTTAAACTTTCCCCTGGGGTCACACACTTCCTACCTCAGATTTGGTTAAGGGGAAACTGACAGTCTCTGCTTCTGTTTTTACATCACTAGAAGTTTAGCCTGATGCCCAAAATGTATGACACAAAAACTGCAACTCACAATGTCCCTTTTCTTTCCATGTGCTGTTTCTCTAGCTATTGTCTACTTACCTACTCAGCCACCATGGATTCTCTGTTTCTATACATTCCACCATCTCTCCCCATGCCAAATTTCCAGATTTCCACATTCATCCCAATGAGCTCAGTATAGCTGGCTTCACTCACACATTTCTACTCCATCTTCAGATTCTCTGAATAGCTGCTCTATATTTCTTCTGCCAACCATAACAATACTTCACAATCTAGCTCTAGCCTCTAGTCTGCCATAATATTACTGGGCATTTTGGAGCTGCTGTTGGGATTCTCTCCCTATCTCAGTGTTGTTTTCTGGCTTATCAATGCCAAATTTCCCCAAACATGCTGATATTTTGTGTAAATATATCAGATTGTCCTTAGGGCTCTAAAGAGATTCTAACCAATTCCCACTTCTTAAATTCCATGGTCATGATAAAAGGTTAAGCTACTCAATTGTTTCAAACTATGAAATGGGTGACAAATAAATTTGATAATAATAATTTTAAAGTGTTAAAATGATAACTCTAAAAAATGTCTGGAAATTGCAGTTGGTGCAAAATGAAGTGGCTAAATTGCTGATAGATTATACAATGCCTATAGCAGGAGTAGGCAATCTTGGCTCTTTTATGAGTTGTGGACTTCAATTCCCAGAATTCCTGAGCCAACCAAGTTGGCTCAGGAATTCTGGAGTTGAAGTCCATGAGTCATAAAAGAGCCAAGGTTGCCTACCCCTGGCCTATAGTGAAAGATCTCTACTAGTTACCAGTTGTCTACCAGACATAATTTAAGACAAGATATGGCCTCTCACTTTATAACCTGCTTAGTTATTCAGATCAGCAGAAGAAGCACTTTAGGATAGGCTCTTTTTGCCAGAAAATCATCTATCTAGATCAGTGGTGGTGAACCTATGGCACGGGTGCCAGAGATGGCACTCAGAGTCTTCTCTGTGGGCACGCGCATCATCGCCCCAGTCCTAGGCCTTCAGCTGGGTTTTATAAAACCTTTTCTCTTTAGGCCTCCGCTGCCATGTGCAAAAAAAAAAAAGGTTCAATCAGTCAATTTCAACTTCTCACGGGAAAAAAAAGTTCTTGCAAAGTTGGAATTGATTGATTGAACTTTTTAGTCCCACCCAGTCTGCCGTTACCATTACAGCCCACCCAACTGGCCACACCCAGCCAATGGGCCATACCCACCCGGCACTTGACGATGCATAAGTGGGTTTTTGGTTGCAGTTTGGGCACTCAGTCTCTAAAAGGTTCGCCATCACTGATCTAGATCTTCTTTGTGAACCCAGATACGGAAGGAATTCCCAAACAATGTAAATTTGGCCTTCATTTTCCCAGTATGTGAGGGAAAAAATAACAGCAAAAACCTTTTTCATCAAGCTTTTAACTATTAGTTGAACTAAGTTTTGATTTTAATGATATTGATTTTAAATTTATCTTGATTTTAAATATTTTGATTTTTATTCATACATTTTATAATTGTTATTAATTGCTATAAATTATTTCTGAACAGAGAAAAAATGGGATATAGACATGTCGCTTGATTAATTATTGAATCTTCTTTTATAAATAAAAGGACTTCTGCTGTCCATAAAAAATGGAGAGTTGGACTGGAAGAAAAGGAATTCATTGATTTTATCTCCCCCTGATAATATCCATGGCACTATTTTAAGGTGACCAACTTTTTTACAGTGAAAAGGAGGACACAAATAAATTGAAGAAAAAAATATCGTAAATATTCATTGCAACAATAATACAGACAACTTGCATGTGCAAAATTTGCCAGCCGGGTGTTTTGGCGCGCTCAGCAGCAATTCCTATTGGCTTTTGAAAGCCAATAGCAGGAGTAGCACAGCTCATGCAAAAAAAAAACATCAAAAAAAGGTGCCGAAACGCACCTGCAGATTAGTCTACAAATATCGAAAAGGAGGACATGTAGGAGGACACTTTTTGAGGGAGGACAAAGTTACAAAAAGAGGACTGTCTCCCTAAAGGAGGACGGTTGGTCACCTTAACTATTTACACAATTACAAAGGGTTTCAAAATTCTTTTGAGATGGAGCATCTGAAAAAAAATGCCACCTGTGTCTTCCAGACACATCACTGGAATTCTACTGAAAAAGCACCTTTCTTTCTTTGAGGGTGCAAGCCAGAGAATACAGCACAAGATCTGGTTTTTTTTTTTTTTTTGTAATTATATAATCCCAGCATCAGCCTGATCAATAAAATGAGGAGGCTATCTCTGACTGAAGATATGTAATATAAAAGAACAACAAACTGCCATTGATACATGTTATTATACTATCAGTGATAGGAAGAGGTGTTTGTGATATTCTAGGTCACATGTATTAAAATAATTTGGATGCATTTAAATAATCTGCACTTGACCAAAAGAATAGGAGAGTATCATTTACTGCTTGACATCAGGCAACAGAAGTATTTTGGGCTAGTTCTGTCTTGAAACTGCATGATACCACTTGTTAATTGCATTTGTTTGTAGCACTAATCACAGAAAATGTCTAGGTCTGAATGACTAAGTTCTTCATTCTGTTTGCTTCGTACCAAATGTTTTATCTGATGCTTCATTTAACCAGGTCTCAAGGAATATGGAACCAGCATTTCAAGTATCTGTTTAGTAAGCACATTTAGGTGCTTTTGCTTGTGACAGACTTAACCCTTGGCTTCTACTTAAGAATTTGGTGCCATCTGGATGAGTATTTTATAACTCCCCAAAGGGATAGGCCTAAAAATGGATGCTCATTTCCCTGGAGAACTAAAAGCTGTGGATCAAATGTCAAGAGGAATAGTTTTCATATACTTTATGAGAGAGATCACCATACCACCTTCCTTCACCTGTCACTCTTGTGACATGACATCCACAGGCTTAAGCTCTGGATACCAGAAAGGAGAGAAGAGCTTAGCCAACTGTGTCATTTCAGAGAAAAGCCCCTTATTCCTTCTGCCAATTCAGCATCTTGACGAAACTGTAAGATAAAGCTGTCATTCCTGGAGTTCAGTCAATGCATTGCTCTTGCAGGGCTTGAGAACAACATCAACTGTTTTAGTCCATTATATTATTTTATTAATATTATGTTATTTTAACATTAGGGAAGCAATCTTCATTATGAGGGAAATTAATGTTTAAAGTTAAGATGTTATGCTTTAGGTAAGAAATTACAGCCATGTTCACGTGACTATGCTTTTTTTAGGGTAATTCCAAATACTTTTCTTAGAAAACAACGTCCACTGAAACCTTTTTCAATGTTTCTCCATGCCTAAAAAGAGAATAGACAAACCCAACTCTTATCACATTTCCATGACCATGAGTTAAAGTTTAATTGACTTATTCGGATTGCTAAGTGATAATAAAAACAAACTTTTCTCCCTAAGTGCCCAAAATGTAATAGTCACTTCTCGTTGGACTTCGGTTTTCAAAACTATAACTTTATGGAGACAAGTTTTAAGCCCAGTGTTTGAGCAGCAATTTGGGAGTGGATGTAGGTTCCAATAAGTAAAATGAATCTTAAATAAGGATGTTGCCAGACATCCGATAGCTCTTTGCAATTAGGTTATGATTGAGCAAGGACTGCTAGACTCCAATCTCAGTTTCCCATCTCTATTACATCTGTCATATCCCCAATAATTTTCTTCTGCTCCAAAAATGCTAAGAGATACATTTGGCTGCTAGGGGAAATGTAGCATAGGGGATTGGTTTTCCAGTTCTTTGCAGGAGTGTCCATTCTCCATGTGACTAATTTTAAAGCCATCGCGAAAATGATCATCTACTTCCGCTAGGGAAATGGCACTTCAGTGTCCTCTTGAAAGCATTACTGCATATGAAAAATGATAAACACAGTGACATATTCTTTTTACCTATCAGCCTGTTTTGCAAGGGTTTGCATGACCTTATTTCACACAGTGAAATAGCCAGAATACTTTTGAAGAGAGTGAAAGTAGACTGTGTTCAGCTGAAAAAAAAAAATCTAATATTCCTCTCACTAATTGTATAGGTTGCTAATTGTACATTTTGTGCAAGTGAGGAAGTAAGCATTTCATTTAGATAGGTAAATTATCAATGGAAAAAAATCACCATCATATACTGCAGTGTTTCCCAAACTTGACAATTTTAAGGCATGAGGACTTCAACTCCCAGAATTCCACAGCCAGCAATGCTGGCTGTGGAATTCTGGGAGTTGAAGTCCTCATGCCTTAAAATTGTCAAGTTTGGGAAACACTGATATACTGTATATAACAGTGGTTCTCAACCTTTCTAATGCCGCGACCCCATAATACAGTTCCCCATGTTGTGGTAACCCCCAACCACTTATACATCACCGGGTGCCAGGGGCGTGGCCAAAGGGGAAAAAATGGCAGACAGCCTTGTTTGGCGACCCCCGTGAAATGGTCGTTTGACCCCAAATGGGGTCCCGACCCACAGGTTGAGAACCACTGGTATATAAACCCATATTTGGGTAATTCCTTCACTGTTTTCAAACTAATGTACTTACTGCAAGGGCAGCAGGTCCTGGAGGTCCCATATCACCCTATAGCATTAGGAAGAAAGCAAAAGTTAACAAGCTTGTATTAGTGCAATTTTTCAAAATGCCATTTCACTTAAAATACTTAACTTGACATCCATGGTCCACTCAGTTTCATTTGAAATACTTAATTCAATATATATATATTTCCTATTCAATTTACTTTAGAGAAATCTGATGATATAGTGAAAATTAAAGTGATGAACAGCTCAAGGTCAGCAATCATCATCTGAAGGAGATTCAGGCTGATCCCTGGGTGGCTCATTTTTCATGATATTTTGGTTAAAAATTCAAGGGTTGGCTTATCTGCAGATGGACTTATACATGAGTATATATGATACGTTTGTTCAGTTCCTTTTCTGCATTCTGTTTCTAAAATGTCTGCCATGAAACTTGGTTTGCATTTCTTCTACAATATTTTTGTACATTTTTTCATCATATCCTCCTATCTGAACGTAATTTCCCCTAATCTGTACATTTTTTGCAAGTAAATTTCATAATGCTTTATTGTACCCACTTAGCAAGGTGTATGTTTTAACCATTTTGTGTGTGCGCATGGCAGACTACATTTGTAAATCCAGAGAAGTGAGTCTATCATTATATAACAGGGCTTCTGCTCATATATACTGTCGGGATAGCAAAAAAAAAAACAAACAAAAAACAAAAACAAAAAAAACAACCAAAAAACAAAACAAACAAACAAACAAACCCAAAACCTGTATGGAGAATGAGGGGAGAGGAAGAAGTAGTTGCAGAAGAACAAAAGGAGACAGTTATCCTGCTTAGGTAAAACTCACAAAGTAACATTTCCCAAACAGTTGTTAATATTCAGACTAATATTCAATGGCATCTACACTAGAGCTCTGCATGCAGCCCCTTAGTATTCCTTGTTCGCTCTTTTATTGTCAGCCATTTCTCCTCTTCTTTTCATTACTCAGGTTCTTTAATTTTCAGCTATCAGTTCAATATAAATGTTCGCACAGGGACACATGCACATACCTTTTCTCCCTTTGCACCAGTTATTCCACGATCACCAACATCACCTTTTAAGCCCTATGGAAGAAGGAAAAAAGATAAGGAACCATGTTTAATATGTATTAAGTTCTATAAGTAAGAAGTGTAGCAGTTAAGCTCCCAAACTAGAAACTGGGACACCGTGAATTCTAGTTCTGCCTTAGGCATGAAACCAACTGGATTATCTTGGGACAGTCCCTCTCACTCAGCCCAAAGGAGAAGCCAGGACAAGACACTTCTGAAAAGCCTTGCCAAGAAAACTGTGGGGACTAGTCCAGGCAGTTGCCAGGAGTCAACAGTGACTTGAAGGTACAAGGCACGCACGCACACACACACACACACACACACACACACACACACACACACTTTTTCAAATCAATCTCATCTCCTTTTGGCGTCATGGATATGTTTTCTCGGTAACAAAAAGTGGCTTGCTATTGCCTTCCATGTGTTTTCTTCAACTTCCCAATCTTGTCTATAAGCTTGCCATTTTATGCATGTCTCTCATCCACATAGTAACCAGGTCTGAATCTTGCCCCTGTTTCAGATACAGTCAACAAGCACTAAGACATCATTTAATAAACCAGTGCACTATTGCAAACTTCACCAAAATAAAAATTTGGAAATTCATATACAAATTCTATCAAAGTAGAACCAAATAAATTACCTGACATAAAGTAATAATACTTGATGTTAAAATGATAAGCAACATCTCTCCTACTGAAGGTAAGAAACTTTGAATCAGAAAGTGTTCAAAAAACTCATAATTGGACAACTTCACTTTCTGCAAAAATTACATTAATTCACCATTTGGAAGAAGTAGATACAGCACATTAGCATTTAAGTTGCCACTTCAGATTAAATGATAGATTTTGATAAACCTGATTTCTTATGCTTATAAGTAATCAAAGAATTAAATCTAAAGCAATATTTGTTCTGTCTGAAGAAGACAGACCAGGCAAAGAGAAATGAGTAGGGGGAAAAAATCTGCCTTAATGCCCATGCTTGAACATCATAAATACAAATTACCCTATTCAGATTTCTGAATGGATTCAGATTTCTGATGGATTTTTTGTGGACTATAAACAAAAATGGTTAGGAGATTTCAGAAAGCAAATGGAATATGTATACAAACATACATATTTATCATGTTATTCCCTTTCAGGATGTGCAGTGTTATGCTGTGGGCATGAAAGGAGTAAAGAAATACTGAGAAAAATAAAACAAAGTAGTTGAAATTACTTATTACCAGCACCATTCATATAGTTCTCCATATCTTTCGATCTTTGCAAAACATCCTGGCTTTCTCCGCATCCATATATGCTTCTTTGTTCTTTACATAGATCATTTCTCTCATTCTGAGGATCACATCAATTTCATTCCACCACTGTTTTAGTGGATATCTTTTTCTCTCAATCCATTCACACTTTCTTCATAGATTTGTTAAGCCATTTATTTGGCTTGAGCCCATTTCTTCTTCTTTTATTATATTTCTTTAAAAATATTCTCACCTCATTCATTCATTATTTTTATGTTTCTTCTTACATAAAATCGGCTCTCACTTCTATATACATGATGGGCAAAAGGATGCCATTATAATACGCAACTAGTTTTACATCTCTGAACATGTTCCCTCTTTGCAAGAAACTACCTACTACCTTTCTACCTACATTTGCTCATCTCAAAACTTCTCCATTCATTCAGAGTATATGATAAACAGTGCTAAATAATCATGGGAGATGGGGGAGGGGGGAAGTCTCCATTGCTTTTGAAGTGTTTATTTTATTTTATTTTACTTATTATTTTAATGTATGTACAGTATGTATTTATTTATATCCCACCTTTATTATTTTTACAATTAACTCAAGGCAGTGATAATATCCAATACATCTTCCTCCTACTTTTCCCCACAATAAAAACCCTGTGAGCTGAGTTGAGAGAGTGTGACTGGCCCAAGTTTACCTAACTGGCTTTCGTGGCTAAATGGGGACTAGAATTCAGTCTCCCACTTTTTAGACTGGTGTTTTAACTATTAGATCAAGCATTTTATATAGAGCTTTTTTGGATTACAACTTTTGGGTTTGTGCTCATAACAACTTAATAAAAGTTCTTTATCTTTAGAACCAAAAAGGAGGAGATTTTTTTAAAAACCGTTTTCCATCCATTTCTCGTATAAATAAATTATCTGAAAATAAGTTTTTCTCACATTCTGCCAATGGATGATTCCACTGGATTAAACAGCCTTGTTGTAGGAGACCAGAATGACCAGAATGATTTCTTACAACTAAAAACACTTAGGCTAATTCAGTGGTGGGATTCAGCCAGTTCACACCAGTTCAGCAGAACCGGTAGTTAATTTTATGTTGCCCAAGCCCAGAACAGATTTTCAGAAACGGCATCCACACAGAGAACTGGTTGTTCACATATTTGAATCACACCACTTGGCTAATTGGTGAGTTATCAAATTTTACTAAAAAAAAAAAAAAAAAAGGGAAAGGAAAACTAAAAACGATAGGAGAAAGAGATTTTTCCATTTCTTTTTTTAGGCTATTGCTTAACCAAACTGTCCAAGGGTATAAATTTACTAAGTTGCGATTTCTTCATTAAAATTGTATGTATAATCACCCTTGTACCTTGTGATTATCCACAAAGAAATTAAATAAAACATACGCATCAACTTACATCTCTTCCAGGTATGCCATCTATTCCGTTTTCTCCTTTTTCACCCTAAAAAGAAAGCAAACAAACACCAATCAATGTATGTGCTTAAAGAAAATATCTTCATGGAAATCATTAGAGAAACTTTTAATTGGAACTTCAGCATAATTTTTACTAATTACCTACAATGCTATGTTTTCAATTAATGTCACCAATTTAATTCCGCACATATTTCTCATGGAATTCAAGTCAAGGAGTAACAAAATGATTAGATAACAGTGCAACTAAATTTGTTAGTGATGTTTTCACAGACTTTGAAAATATTTCTTTTCATCTTCCATGGCATCATTGTCACCTCTGAAAAATAGGATTCTAATCCATACAAATATATGGCATAGAAAAATTTAATGATTTTATTATTCCAATAGTACCTGATAATATAATAGCACCTGATAATATTTCACTATTTCACTAATTCACCTGAGATGCATTCTGTATAATCAAAAGATTGTTCTGTGGAGCTGTATCTTATTCAAATGATCTTTCTGTTATGTACATTTCAGCCTTTATTAGACAGTTCATTTAGTTCTTACTCAAAGATAGTAAATCAAAACACATATATCAATGCCTTAAAAGGAGAACATAATGTTCTTCTATGACAGTTTTGCCACATAATCCAAGTCACCACTTTAAAAAAAAATCAAGGCAGATATCTAGGGAAAGAATGTCTGGCATTTGAATAATAAATTAAATGAAACAAAGTAATACAATCTTGTATGGGGGTGAAAGAAGGCTTTAATAACATTCCCCTTATTTCCCCTCTTTTTGCCCTTCTTGTTAAAATTAGGGTGTACCTGAGAAAAATCTTTGGTACCCAGAGGCAATTATGTATGCCCAAAGTATGTGGGTTTTTTTCCCCAAATGTACTCATTAGTCCAATATATGAAATGCTACTTCCCAAGATACAAGGGTGTGGAAAGTTAGTATCTAGAAAGGTTTGTTTAGGGTGAATTCAGTGGATGACATTGTATCTTAATAGTAAATCCATTTATTCAGTGAGACTTATTGAAAAGTAAGCATATTTAGTACCGTAGCCTAAGTGTTCTTTATCAATGAAAAGGCCATCTTAGCTGCTAGCTCTCTGAAGTAAGATTCATATTTTGAGCCTGGACACCCAGATAATCAAGAACAGTTGTATGGCTTGAATAAATACCACTCTGCTCAGAGAGAAGATGAGCCCAAATTTAAGATAACACTCATAGAAGGAAGAATAGATACATAAAAAATAGAGACAAAAATCCTGTGTAATTCCAGATTTTATACAACCCACTAAGTACCAGGTTTATGAAAAAGGCAAATTTATAAAACATCAATAGTTCTGATTTCTAAATATTTCAGATTGATGTACCCTAAATATGGAATCCTAGCTTTCATTTTGAGCCATGTGAGAAAATCAAAGGAAAATGAGAACAGTATGCTAGGGGAATAAAGAGAATAATCAAAAAAGAAATCAGAGAACAACAAAAGAAGAACTGCTAGAAGTTCTATGTGTCTAATAAATATCGTGCATTTTCCTTCCTTTGTTTCATTAATTCTTCAAACAAATCCAGCTTCTCCTTTACTTTTTCTATATATAATTCATACTTTAAAGATCAAAGTGAAACATCTTTTCATAATTTATTATTGAATTCCTATACTGTTGCATAGTAAGAAATAATAAAAACAATACAGCTTTCTCACAAAACTTTTCTTTTCCCCTCCCTATTTCCTATGCTGTACAAGTCACCCCATTTATTAATCGCAAGAAGAATGTGCACCTTTACACTTAATTCTCCTAGTTCATATCTCATATCACTTGTAATGCTGGTCTAAACCATTGATTCTTCCCAAAGTCTACAAAGAGGAAAAGAAAACGCCTGCCGACAACCCAATTATGACTAACAGATGAACTACATGTCCTTTAGGTCACTTTCAGGCCTAAATTCTGTTATAAAACTGACATTTTCAAGATTGCTAATTTATAGCTCTGTATTAATTGGAACCAGTTTATGTAATGTTCAGTCATTTCCCTCCAGATGTTTAAATTTAGAAAACTGGATTACTTAGCTGAAGACATAAGGCTTTCAGCTTTTGTTCTGGTTTACAGGCAGAATTGCAATATGAAGGCATTCCAGTTTGGAGGCATCTTTGGGTGGTATTCATGCAGTTTGGAAACATGTTCTCCTATTAATAAAATTGAAGTAAACCTTGAAAATAAAATATTAAGATGGACAGTATTTTCTTTCCTCTTTATATTACCAAAGTACCAGGAAACAGGCAGATATACAGATCCTCAAAAGTGTATGACACAACCAGTCTTATAGGTTCCCACTGCAGGGTCAATATTTAATCTTATCTATAGTCTGATTTTTTTATTTGATTTTTCTCTAGCTAGTGTAAGGTCACTGGCCCTTGATTAAACCTGAGATATCACAAAATCCAAGCGTGAAAGACTCAGGCAGAGGCTTATTAAAGAGACAGTACTTTTTATTAGATCGAATTAAGTCCTGGCTGGAAACACAATCCGAACACTGGCAGCAGTTGCATTCAGAAGTGCCCCCCTTTAGAAAGTTAATGGCATCGCTTTATAAACTTTGTTAGCCAATCAGCATCAGACAATAGAATTATGACCATATAAAGAAGACATCAATCATTCCTGTACACTCCTTTATTCCCTCCTCAGTACCCCACATCCGTGTATTTGTTTCCTACGCTTGCATGAAATTGGTCCCTGACTGAAACGCAGAACCGAGATAGCAATAGTTAGGCAAGGCTTCACAATTTGTTTCTTTTTCTAGTTCCAGTTACACAACTCTTACACTAGAAAAGATTGAGACCGAAGAGAACTAGCTCATTCCCTTTTTATAGGTACAGAAGAGCCAGTTTTTTCTGACAGCAGATGACAAATGGAATTATTTTTGTGGAATACATTTTTAAAACATCTAAACTTTCTGGGGCTTTAGTAGAGCAATACTATTATTTTTTAGAGGCCAACATCCCCACCATAACAGTCAGGGATTACCACCATGTCAAGTAGATGGTAGACTGGGAAGTGCATTCAATTCAGTTCTGACTTCATAACTTCAATTTCATAACAGATTTGCTACCACTCTGCCTCTCAGCTCATATTCTTCACTTGAGTATTTGTTACATTTTCATCTCAAGCTTGGTCAGGGTGGGGTTGGGGAGCAGTTTCCAGAACAACTTACTTTTTCCCAATGAAGTGGGAGAAAAGCATATCTTCAGGAATCTGTGGGTGAGTTCTTAGATCTATGATAACAGGTCTAATAGTTTGAGAGCTAATAAAATATTTTGTCCCTAGAACACTGAGGAAATGGCCTTCTAGGCAAGTAAGCAGCGTTATTCCAAATATTTGTTGAAAGTGCTATAAAGACTGCTGTAAGCATAATCTATTCAGCTTTTATTGTCATTCCCTCCCCCCCAAAAGTAAATTCTTGCAGTTAGTTAGCTAATGTACTGGACTTTTAAAATACTGAAACTCTATGCTGGCACAACTAGTAACATTAGGGTTTGTTTCCAAATAAACATGAAACAGGCTTAGCCCCATGCTTTTCTAAACAGAAGTAAAATCTTTTAAATTATTTCTTTTGATTTAGACCAACACCCCCCCCCCTCCCGGCATGTCTGAGAGCAAAGGAGTTTACTGTATGCTGGTTTTCTTTCTCTATTTTATTTCAATTTATATTTTCTCAAAATGTTATGGATATCATTATTCACGAGTGGAAAATCAATGCTCTGCTTTAAAGCAATGTTGTGCTGAAAGTAATGTTCTTTGCTAGAAGTACAATCATGGATTTTATATAGACTGAATTATTTCTCCAGAATATTTAAACCTGGACATTCACTGCTGGAAACTAAAACCAGTTTCTGCAATCCAATAAACTTATTTTTTTACCCTTTTCTAAATTAAAAAAAATGAAGCATTGCAAGTTAGCTTGTGTATTCTCCATTCTCCATTCCATGGAATTTACTGATCAGAAACAATGTAGTTTATATACTGTACATTCCACAATTCTATTCTTATGTGCTCTCATTAAGATTTTACCCTCCAATCCATTTCAGTGTATTCTTACAAAAAAGCATATTTTATACATAATATTAACTAATCTGATTCTATTGCAGTGTATTGCAGACCATGAGTAAAGTGGCTACTGTACTTTTTTATTTTCCAGTCAAAATATTAGGTATCACATCCATAGGGAATCTTTAATCAACATATTATGTCAAACTCAGGCATTAAAAAGTAATACTAACAACTGCTAACTTGAAAACAGCAACCCATATTTTACTATTGTAGTACTCCTGTACTTCCATTTTTTTATTCTATACCACAAGAAATAGGTTTATACATAATGCTAAATGACAGATATGAAAATTAGCTACAGCAGGATTTGGGTATATTTGCTCTCTTTCTTCTTCTCTGGTGTAACTATGAGCAATTTAGAACTCTTCATTCAATCTCAACCTACTGTTAATTTTAATCCAGTGGACTCCAGTAAACCTTAACTATGATTGTATTTATCTTATTTAGAGGATATCCAACGTCTTAGTGATTCCGGATAGTTTACAGTTAAAAGGAAATATATATCTACGTATATATCTACAAGGTAATCTTTCACTTGGCTATTTTGCTTTTACTCTGGTGTGTGTGTGTGTGTGCATGTGCGCACAAACACACATCCACTTTTTAAGCAACTAGTAGCTCCAGAAGAAAAATAAAACCGAAGCCATCTATAATATACTGTACATGTATGTATGTTGAGAGTTTGGAAAAAAATTCAGAGAAGAGCAACTAAGATGACCAAAAGCCTGGATACTAAAACATATGAAGAATGGCTGCAGGACTTGGGTCTGGCTAGTCTAAAGAAAAGAAGAAATAGGGGAGACATGATATCAGTATTCCAGTATCTGAGGGGCTGCCACAAGGAAGAGGGGGTCACGTTGTTCACCAGAGTATCAGAGGGAAGGATGAGAAACAATGGTTAGAAACTGATCAAAGAGAGAAGCAA